GGTAGAAAATAACAAATGCAATTATTATTATAATCACACAAAATTGTACGCTTGAACCCACGCGCACAAGATCGGAAGCACCATCTGCCCTATACAGAAATAGTTTGTAGCATATTAATGCTTTACTGACACTTTTCAGTGACTTCCAAAAAAACATACTTGATGCCAACATGAACATTTATACCAACAAGGGAACTCAAAAATAGGGAATCCCCTGCCCCGCCCATGAAACACAGTCAATAGTTTCCCACAAAGGCATTAAAATTTTATCTTCTGACTTTTTTTGAACATACGATGGATGTAGTTGTACTGATCTGCAATTACCATCAGAAATTTATTGGTTCCATATCATCTACTTCAGTCAAAGTGCACATAGTTTGACTTGGGAAGGGAAGCGCTTAATTTGAAAGGGCAGAACTATTCTAGATTACCAAGCACCAAAATTTATTGTTAAATCCCTCCCCCCCCCACCCCCACCTCATCATTTATAGGGGATAACATAACAAAATGGCACACAATAGACTTAGAAGGACTGATCAATCCCAGTATCTGAAACAATCAGAAGCACATCACTGCGCTTAAGTGTCCTGACACCAAACTCAATTTCCACATATATGATTTCCATTTGTCTGTTACGGAGTGTGCACCCTTTCCTCAAAAATGCTGCACCTTGCTTATGGAAAAATTAGGGGCAGGTTGAAAAGAAACAAGGTTTGGAAATGGGCTGCTGGTCACAGGCATTTGGTGCACAATCTGCTTTGTGGTGAATTTGGGGACAATTATGGCGTCATTTGTGATATAATAATAATAATAATAATCCTTGCATTTGATATAGCGCTTTTCACGTCGGGAGGACGTCCCAAAGCGCTTCACAGAACACACTGTAAAGTGAACTGACTGTATATTTGTGGGCGAACGCGGCAGCCAATTGCGCACAGCAATGTCCCACAAACAGTCATGGATTGAAAATGACCAATTTATTATTGTTTTTGGTTTTGGAGGGATTATTATTAGGCTCTGTGACTTAAGCACAGATTTAAGCACAGACTTAAGATATGACTTAAGCACTCACCCTGTCCTCGCCTGACTACACTAGCTCCATATCCACCAAGTTTAAGATTCATGTCCTCACTTTTAAAGTTCTCCACGGCCTTTCTCTACACTACTTCTAATCTTCTAAAACCATACCAACCTGCCCTTTCCCTCTCCTTTGCAAACACTGGCCTGCTTCATGTCCCCCACCTGCTCACACAATATGTGGTTGTGCTTTTCATCTTTTTGGGACTCTAGAACTTCATGCATCCCTGAATCCATTCGCCTGGTCCTTTCCCTCACCGCCTTCAAAATCCATCTCAAGACCTTCCTCTTTGATTATGCCTTTGGTCATTTTCCCACCCCCATCTTTCTTGTATCCAACCCCCAACTCAGGTCAACTTGATTGTCCAGCACCTTGCGACATCTTCTCCACGTGAAAGGCAGTATAGAAAATCAAAAGTATCACTTGAGATTTCTGTACAAAATATCTCCTCACAACAATCATTCATGTAATATGAAGGTCTTCATCCTCTGGAATAAAAATATAGCCCACTAGTCCTTATTGCCCAGTGTAGATTTACAACCAAATGGCCTCCTGCAATATTTTATGATTGCACATAATGAAGTCTAGTTCTCTGCAACAGGTTGTGGTGGATAGAGAATTAAGAACAGTACATTACACATCAAGTGAGCCATGACAAATTTATATGAAACAGATGGTGATAGTCAACACTGATTCAAATCGATAACAAATTGGGACCAGATTAACAATTTATGAACAGGGAGCAGTTCTGCCCTGCAATTTTGGAATTTTAATACAATTCAAACAGAAAACCCAGACAGCTATCTACAGAATAAGGTTTACTTTATTGTCTCACTGTATAATACACAAATGGCTCATGGTGAGAGTTCCTGCATGCAGGAGAACTATAGGACGTTGCAAAGCGGTCACCAATGCTCAGTATGTTTTTGCCCCAGAGCGATTCCTTTTATCTACAGAAAAATTCCCAGTTAAAAAGTCACACATTCTTATTTACATAACGGTCAATTTCTCCAAGTAAAGCAAAGTCCTGTCATGCAAAAATATATTTTCTGCCATTTTCACAATCAGATTTGCAAAACACATGATTACAGTATATCTACATATATTTATTGGAATACTCAAATATTTATTTGAATCTCTACCAAATTTTATGACCAGGAGCATTCCCACCCCAAAAAAAAAATCACAATTCTGAAAACGCAATCCATTGCCAACTGGAAATCAGTTCAGAACCAACTTGTTGCATTACACATACTGAATTTTGATTTCAAGAGCCATTGGTTATGGTATTAATCCAGAAATGCATGATACAGGGCTACAGCAACCGTTTAAAATTTAGAACTGTTCAGTATGCGTGCTGAAATTTTCCAAGGAAACTCCAGTCACCAATTACGTGTTAATAAGGTCACTTTTACCACCTTTCTATTCATTTTACAACAGTGTTTGGAGAACTTGCTCTATCTAGGTCCAATATTTTAAGTTTAATTGAGTCCCAGACCAAAATACAGACTTTTGTACATTTGTGTGTGCACATGTGTGTATTTTGGGAAGGGAAAGAGAGAAAAGTTGGATAGAGGAGGGGGGGAAAGGAAAGTTAAAAGGATGACAAAAATAACAAATCTGGTAACCAATTAACTATAGGTCTAGTAAAATAAATCTCTTAACTATTACACCATACAGATATATATACACATATATATTATATATACATAATATATAAGCATTAGTGAACTTTTCACATTACTTTCAACTGCCAGATTAAAAGTCTTAAAATTTACAAGTTTAAAATTAAACGCACAATAAAAAGGGCAGACTTTGTTCTGTTAAAAGTTTTCCTCCAAATGGTTTTGGGGGAAATGTTAAAACCAAACATAACTCGAAACCCACCTTTGCACAAACATTTACAAGTCAAAAAGCACCTTTTAAAATGCTTCCAGTTAAAATGTGTACAAATTGAGTGTTTCCTAATCAATGAGATTCTGAAAAATCTACAGTAAAGTATTTTCACAAATTACCATCTATTTTTAATCATTTACTTTGTCAAACTGAAAACTAACTGGAATAGTTTAAACTTAAAAGGGTTTCAATTGGTAGTGAATCATGGACACTGGTCCACAACAGACTGCGCCTCTGAACAATGTGCCATTCTATTATAAACAAGGTTTAAGGACAAGATCTTGTTTTTGGGACAGGCGGAAAGGTTTAAACTGGAAGGAGAAATGCTGAAAAAGTTCCATTAACCACAAACTTAAAAAAAAGTTTGCTTCTTTAAAAAAACATATTGGAATTCTTCAATTTTAAAATAAAGGAGATTATAAAATCCAAGTCCTCTTGGTTTATCAAATAATATCTTAAAGGGAAACTGCAACAGTTGGAGTACTTAGAAATGGCCTAAATCAGAGTTATATAGTTTTTAGTACTTTTAGATTTGTGTTAATACTGTACCTGGGACCCATCTCCACACACACAAGACCATGCTGTGGAGTATTTATAGGGTGTAGCCTGTCATTTCCTGGAGAATTTCCATTTCTGACAGAATCAGGAGCTCTGCATTAAGAGTGGGTAATAAAATTCCAAAGTGCCCAATATGGAAAAAGACAGCACCAGCAATACCCAGCCCATAATAATATTAATAAATAAATAATAATAAAATAATAATAATCCTTGCATTTGATATAGCGCTTTTCATGTTGGGAGGATGTCCCAAAGTGCTTCACAGAACACACTGTAAAGTGAATTGACTGTATATTTGTGGGCGAACGCGGCAGCCAATTGCGCACAGCAATGTCCCACAAACAGTCATAGATTGAAAATGACCAATTTATTATTGTTTTTGGTTTTGAAGAGATTATTATTAGGCTCTGTGTGGAGTAAGGAAACTTGCCCAAGGTTTCGCCCTCTGCCTGGAATTGAACTCAGGTCTCTCACTTGCAAAGCGAGTGCTCTAACCACTGAGCTACAGGACTCCACTCAATGTGTTTGATAACTCCACCAAAAATCTTGTTGACAAGTGCAGGGATTCTGTATAGCAAACATAGCACCCGATTTGAGCACAGACAGATCATACAAATGGTCATTCATATCATGACCAATTTATCTGGGGGTTTCTTGCCAGATTGGGCGAATCTTCCTTCTCCTTTAGAACAGTGTCATGGGATCTTTAACCTCCACTAATCTAAACATGACCTTAAGTTCAACATCTTATTCAAAAATATAGCACAACTAACTACAGCACACACTCAGTGTTGTACTGGGACATTGGATAGGCTAATGGGGGTTGAGCTCACAACCTTCTCACCTGTACAAAGGCAAGCTGAAATTCCTTTGGGTCGGACAGGTGTGAAATTGGTAAAAGCTTCCCCCTCCCCCCAAACTCAATACAACTGCTATGGGAGGCAGCTAGTAATATAGATAATGGAGAAAGATATTGCAAGAGACAGATCCCATTTTTATATCATTAAGGCCAGAATTACCCTACAAATGAAATTATAAGCTTTTTTTAAAAAAACGTAAAAAACTGTGTGAGAATAATATGCACTTTCCCTTTAAGATTTAAGTTTCTGCCTGTGAGAAGAAAGATGTCGCCGGAAAAGCTGGACTGAGATCTTTGAGACTTAAAAGATAATTTCTGATGAATTTAAATCAGGACAAAACTAAATAGTTAACTCTGAGAACTTTTTTTTAAATATAGAAACTAAGTTAGGATATTTAAATAAAATTTACATAGATTGTGTGTCAGAATTAAAGAGTTTGAAACCTGCTCAAGAGCATTCACCACTAACGGTGTTAATTCTCTGCAATCCAGCAAATAAAACTGAAAAAGGGATGCAATGCCTCAACAAATCTTTACATAACTAGTAATCAAAAGTTATCACTCTGAAATCACAGCAAATGCTTTGATAAAATGAACCCCCACCATCACTGTACATATACTAATATTTTAATTACATAAAAGAAAAGGTAATTTTTGCAGAGATTGATTGACTTGGACCACTAAACAAGACTGGAAACACAACATTAAATACAATCAGCCACACCACTGCATACCATTACATCACTCTAATATGTTTACAAAAAAAATCAGAGTAATTTTCAAATAAAGCTACATATTTTAAAAGGCAATGTCTGATTCACTGATGCCAGGAGTTATATTACACATAGCACAATTGATACTATCTTTAAAGATTTGCTATACACTTATGTTGGTTCAAGTTAGAGGGACAAAATATTGCTCTGACAATTCAGCACTTGACTGTGGTCGTGGTCATTATCTACCACCAGGTGCTGCTTGTGAGCTGTGTGGATATCCGGGGGCAAATTGAATCACACCATCACAAATAAAAGCGGGAATTTTAGGAAGCTTCAACGTTCAGTGTGGTCAGTCAGCCTCGTAATGTAGCAAGTTACACACCTGCCTCAAAATTCTATGGCTTCATTTCTACTTTTACTGCTGAGACCCACTCAAACAGCTAAGGAGATTTCCACCCCATCCTCATGGCTTTCGAGTCAACTGGACAAGTTCTCAGGGTAGGAAACACAGCAGCAGCTTCAATGCCTCTTGTGCTTGGAAGTGATGATCCATGGGGAAAACTGCTTCCATTCTTTGAAGTTTCTTGGAGAGATTTATTTATAAACGGGGACTAGTTTACACATTTATCCACTAGGAACTAATGATGATGTTAATGTACATAGATTAGAAAGTTGTAGCAGTGCTAGATCAAAAGTATCAAACAGGCACTGTATTTACATTCAAAAACAAGAGCAGATACCAACAAGTCAAACATTCTCTTTTAAACCCTATATTAAGACTTGGGATGGGGGGGGAGGGGAGACAGAAAACAAGACAATTAAGACCAAAGTAAAGATGTGATGATCATTATATAGCACACCTGAGCAAAGCAACATCTGAGATAAACCTTTTAGGTAATAAAACCAAGACAATTTTGAAGGCAAATACAGTGGTTGTCAATACCTGTGAGGATGAAAGTCAAGGTTGTTTTTTTTGCTATTTTATCATAATCACCAGATAATGCCGAGAGTAACCATGTGCTGTGGGACTGGTGGGCCCTCAATCCTGCACAATACAACATCGGCGTCTGAAGCAGCCAAAAAGACTGCAGTTTACTTAACACCAACAGCATCTTCAGCAATACAGTACTTTCCAGGGATATCTCAGAACATCAGCTGCCATAATGAAGTATATAGGCATGCATTGGTAACACTGACACTAGCATACAACAGAAGTCGAAGCATATTATAAACAATGATCATGGCATTTTATAACATTTTCCCTTTTTAAAAAGGCTCAAGTTCATCATTTTAAGATGGTGACTGTACAATATAGCACAGTGATCACAACTGCTCATCCAATATTAGAGAACAAGAGTTCTTCACCCCAGCACAATGTGCTGAAATATGTTCCTAGAAACACTTGTCCAATGTTTGTTGCAGATTTCAGCTTCAGTCTGGTCAATCGCTATGAGAGCATTGCAGCAGCTTGTGGAGATGTGATGCACCTTGTCAGCTTAATGTGCTCATAGTTCTGCAAGATCTTGCCTAATCTGTACAATCTTTAAAACCACAACTGTTAAGTGTATCAGATCTCCTAACCAAGATCTGAAAGTTGTTTTAAGCCCTGGTACCACAAGCCAATATATGCCAGTTTAGAAATTATATCCTGAACCTAACATGTTACCTGTTGGTTAAGAATTGGTTCTAGTTAGCAGTGAGGCAAAAAGGGAATGCAAGATCTATATACAGAACATCAGGTCTTAAAGCTTTCCTCAGCTGTAAATATTGGCCATCAAATCTTCCAAGGTTGCCCACAGCCACCTATGAAAGCTTGAAAAGTCACAACAATATGCACTCTTATTGCTGCTCACTCAGCAAAGTGACTGCGTTGGAAAACTACAAAAGTTGATAAAGCACTCCCAAGTTAGGTAAGGCACACAGGTCAGGTTTGTGTAGAGCACCCATCAAGAGTGACACTTTCTATTCATGGCCTTGGAGAGAAGTTGTTAATTTGGTGCCAATCTCATGGCCTATTACACTTTTAATATCTCACCTGGCACTTAGTTATTTGAGTGCCTACAACAGATTTGTACCAGTAGGTATAAAATGTCCAGAAAGTCAGGCACCAACTATAACCAATAGTCTGGCCATAATCATCAAATTCAGATCATTGCAATAATTTATCATCAAGTGATTAATAGCCCTTTCATAGTGTGCATAGTACAACCACAGTATTTTCAATCAAAAATCCAAATTAAAATGTAATTAAAAAAATTAAGTTTCATACTCATCAATCTATAATAGGTGATTGGGGGATACATTTCACCAGGATTTGGATTTGCTGACATCACAAAAAAGCACCTTTCACTAGTTTCAATATTATCCCTCCTGAGAGGTTTTGTCTGTGCACATGTGACAAGGGAACTGGCCAGGTGTCAACTAGAAAAGAGAAACTTTACTGGAGGAGAGAAGGTGTCAGGGAATATCTTCAGCTCTCAAGACCAAAGGAATGAAGAAATCCGTTACATATTTGGAGTCAGACAGGAGTAGCCAAGTCTTATAACTAAGGCTAGAGCTAGAACTTGCGCTGCAAAAGAGGCACTTTTTTTTAAACAAAAGAAACTTGTGGATTTATCAGAGGAATATGCTAGAATTTGATCATCTGCCACTTCTGCACGATAAGGGTAGTGTGCTAGAAAAATAAAATCCAGTATATTTTGTGTGATCCATTGAAAAAAAAATGTAAGGAGTGCAACTGTACCTAGCAAACCTATTCTACGTGCTGTGCATGTGTAGAGGAAAACAGAGGAAGTAGATCTGCAGTTTCACATTGAACGTTTTGGACTCATGAGTTTTCTTGTCTTTGCTCTTTTTTTTTTACATATTTCATAGATGACTGTACAGCAGGTATCCTCAGCAACCTGCAAGAAATTAAATTTAAATTACACAAGTGTAAAATAAGCAGCTTTCAAACTTGGAATATTTCATTCACTGTGAATTAAGAAGGTATGTTCCCACTTGCATGCAGTTTACATTCTGGCTTGCTGTGCTCTTTATAATGATGCACTGTAAAAATCCTATTGAAATACTATGATGCACATGATCAGACAAATAGGTTCATGATTTGCACTCAAGAGTGCAGCTGCTGATATCTTAAAGAGGTAGGCATGTATGTTGGGAATGAATGCAGATTTTCTGTCGCCTTTGCTCAAAAATGTTCCCTTTTGAATGTTGGAAGAACTTTCAAAGAACCATTTTAGTGTTAGAGAATGCGACTATTCTGGATGCTTCTTCTGCTTAATGTGATTTATCAAGCTGTGTAAAGACAGGATTAAATTCCATATGTTGCACTTTAATACAGCTTTTTAAATGCTTGTGCAAACCTGTTCTAAAGCTTGCATGTGATCAAAAACACTAGATTGGTAGTAAACATAAACCAACCCATATACCATTACTCAAGCGCTATTTCTAGTGGGATGCAAGGCACAAATGCCAGACCTTACAAGAAATTGTATTTTGTTGCACCCTTCACATAAAATAATAAATCTAGAAGCACTTTATAAAATAAATTGGAACTTAAGTGCATGTTATAAAGGTAAATGCACTCTACTGAGGCACCAGTTCAAAAGTACATTTAACTAAAAAGTTCTTTGATGTTGTCAGAAAGTATTCAAACTTTAGGGCGTCAAAACCTAAAATCGTCATGTTTGCCCTTAACTTAATTACACCCAATCCCAAGTATTCAGACAGACAGATAGTTTAGCAATGTAAATATGGTCTCTTTTTGAGGCTACATTGGATCTCCAGCTGGAAAATCAGAGTGCCAATAGGTGATGGTTCTGGAGAAATCTCCAGATTGGAATTCATCAGTACCCCGGTTGAAGCAAAGGAAGAAAGAACAATTGATGGGAAATAGATGAAAAAATGGATGGTACAAAATACAAGCTGATATAACTTACCTAATTACATTATTATGCATTTTAGTCCCAAGCAGCCTTGGTTTCTATCATCTTGACTGTTGAGTTTTATCGTTCTGTACTGCCGGATCTCTCGTACCAGTGTGTAAAATGCATCTTCAACACCCTATAACCAAAAATAAAGGCAAGTCCTTCAGTATTTAATGAAAGGAAATCAAGGTGGGTGAATATGTCGCCGCAAAGCCACCTCTGCCTTCACAGTGCTGACTGATAGGTCAATGTAGGCCAGTCTTCCCTCTGCGCAGCCATTTCCCATGCTGTAATCTTTAACATCCTTACTCCTATCACATTCTGGACCACCTTTTATCCCCACAAGTCCTCCTGGTATGAACACGCTCCTTAATGTCCAAAGCTTGTGCTGAATGCAACACTCAAATTTAACCTCACAGCCCATCGCCACATCTGGCTCGACCACACCCAAGTCTATTATTAAAGCCTAACCTTTCACCTAAAGGTTCATCTTGGAAGCCAAATATATAAGTTACATAGACATAATAAAAGGGAGCATTTCAAAATTTTCAGATGGCTTGCTTATGGTATAGCATCTTATCATGCCATTGAGACGTCTCAAAGTACTTCCGGGATTTTTACAGTGCCTGTGGCCAAAGGCGAATCTTGTCCAATATAGGCCTGCCACCTCGTGCAATGCACCTAACCTCATTTCTCTCACCCGATATTCACACAAGCTTTCCAGTAGACATCAATGAAGAGCATCCCTATTGATTGACTGTTTATAATAATAATCCTTGCAATTGATATAGAACTTTATCACATCTTTGCGGCATCTCAAAGAGCTTCACAGAATATACTGTATAATGAATTGACTGTATACTGTGTGAGCAAAACACAGCAGCCAATTAGAAACAGCAGTAGCCCGCAAACAATCATGGATTTGAAGTGACTATCCTTTTTTAAAAAAAAATTGCCCAAGGCTTCTGAGGCCAGTATTGCTTCTCTAATGTAACAGGATTGTGTACTTACAAATTAGGGTTGTTTTAAATCAAATAAGCATTCCATGGTATTTAACCTGAATGTTAAATAGTTCATGCAGACTCAAACAAAGGTCACAAAGTGCAGTCTTGTCATATCGGACTTTAGCACAGTTTGGGAAAGCGGAATGCATATTTCAGCATTAACAAAATTAATACTGGATTTTATTTGGCAAATCATCATGTAAATTGATGATAAAAAAAATGCCAGTGCAGTAGGTGACCTTCTGTCAATCAGCATGAACTGGAGAACTCAGTAGACTGAAGAGCAATTCATTTTAAAAGGCAGCCGAAATATAGCCAAACCTCTCCCACACATTCCATTGACACAATTTAAAATCCATCCTGAATGGTGAACAAACTATGAGCGTGCATGACCTCCTAGCGGGTCAAGAGTCAGTCAACCTCAGTGATCTAGTGTTCAATGCTCTGCCTCACTTCAAACGAAATAGAAATAGATACACTGGTGTAAACGATTGTATTTAGGGAAACAAAAGCTAGGAGGATTTTGATAAAATGGAAAAGCAAATAAGTTTCATAAATATAGTAAGTTCTAGATATACCTTTGCTGATAGTAATACTGCATCTAATTTGAAACATGCTCATGAGTTACTAAGGCCATGAAAACAAACAAAAATGTTGTCTCCCAGAGCAAGAGGCAATTATGTTTGCATAATTCAGCCTTCATTTTATACCTGTGATTCGCAAATTGATTTCCCCCACTGGCCGCTACCCATTTCCTAATACGGTTAAGCTGAACAGATCAGACAGGGATGGTAGTTTTTCCCGGTTGACCGTCATATTTCAAATGGGTAAGAATCCAAATGAATCTGGGCCGGACATTTTGTCTAATTTATCCGGTGTCCGAGGTTAACTGCCGTCCGCTTAAAAGTGGTTTCCACTGAATAGTTATCATGGTAACCAACCATTCACAAAGATACAATACGAAAAGCAGCTGCTGAGTTCATCCTGATATAAACAAAATAGTTTTATACTATAGATTCAACAGAGTTTAGGGAATACTACAAAATAAAGCTGCTTTTTAAAGGATAAATGTACAATCTGAAATAAAATTTTAAAAAATCTGAAAATATTTATATTATTGAACAAATGTTCTCCCTGAAGTTATATAATTTTGATCAAAGGTTTGGAGAGTTACATTTCAGAATTCTTATTTCATTCTGCGGGAGATTGGTTGGCATTGTATCCACTGTGAGTTTTGCATTTCAAACTAGATCAGTAGACTAGCAAATATCCACAGAAGATACCACTGAGAGGAAGTAAATCTATGAAAAGCAGCAATCAGACCAGAGCTACACAAAACTATCACTAAACCCTCTGAGCTAAGCCCCAAATTCTAATGTTTGAATTTGGCCATGTGAACTTAACGTAATGGAAGGTAATTAGAAGGCAGTGAAGCCTTCCATAAATTAAGTTACACAGATTGTTTCTGAACAAGTTTAAAGGGTTTAGCAATTGCAAACTATAAGTCTGAACATGACAAGTCTACAGATTACATTTTAAATACCCAACGAATCTCAACAGAAACATTACCTAAATTATAAATGTTTTTATATGATGACTTGTCAGGTCAAAATTTCTAAAAGAACAATTCTGGGATACCAAGATGTTTTGCTCAAAGTATATGCATAGATACAAGTTGAGCTGGGGCCCACTATTCAAATAACCCATCTAAACTCACCGGCAAACATAGCGACGAGAATAAAGTATATGCACACCAATGAGCAAGAGAACAGATGAATAAATAGCAATGCAGGCGTGGCAATAGAGATTTGATTCCCCATGTTGATGAATCTGTGATCTCACACACACACACATAATGAGAAAGCATAAAGAGGACCGTAGCTACTCCCCTGTGAAGAGGAAGACATCTGCAGGTCACCCTCATGCAAGCTATGATGACCAGTTTAGAATGTAACTGGCATATGCGAAATATCATGGATAAATCTGACATGAAGTAAAAGGACCAAGTCTATAAGTAGAATAAGCACAGCTACTGGGATGGGGTAAAACAAATATCAATTCTTTCCAAGCTAAGCCAAGCTGTAGTTAACTTTAATAGGGCTATGGAGGGGAATCATCACTTCCAGGAAATTATGCTCTCTCATCATGCGGGTAAGCAAAGCACAATTGTAAAACCATTATTTGAAAAAAGCTGATTTTGTAGAAGTAATAAAAAATAGATTTTGACTAGAATATGCTCTTCTATACTGAAGAATCTTAGAAAAAATTAATTCAACTTGGGAATTTGAAATGCAGATCTACACACAAAAAAGTTCACCTGCAGCATCTGGGTTGTCGATCAGTCTTGTGCTTTTCTTACCTGCCTCGTTTTGGCTGAGGTTTCTATGAAAGGGATCCCATAACTCCTAGCCAGTTCCTGTGCCTGTTTTGTGTCCACCGTTCGGGCAGGTAAATCACATTTGTTCCCTACAAGGACCATGGGTACATCTTCAGAATCTTTTACTCTTTTTATCTGTTCCCTGATGAAAAAATGGACAATCATAAAATCAGGAAGTAAAATTACACACATTCCATATTTTGTGGGACGAGTAAAGGACGAGTCACAATGAAGACAAAACTGGTACAGACTGGCTAAAAGACAGTCCCCAAAGCTGTTTTTCAGTTGATCAAGTATAAACATTAATATGGTTGCATCATAAGTAGACCTGGGATAAACTGATGTACTTTTACAAGACAAACAGAAAGGTTGCAAGCCCAGGGAGCATAATTATATCCAGAACCTGCGACCATCGTATTTAAACAGAGCAAACTTACACCTTCAATCCAACTTTCCAATCATATGGGCCTTTACAGCCATTTTACAGATTTATGGAGTCATTTTTCTAGGTTAATTACAGAAGGTACATAGAGTAATTGCATAATACATTAAACTGAGGACTCGTCTGCCCGTTCAGGTAGTCTCTGAAGATCCCACAAAACTATTCAAAATGTCTCCAGTTTAATAATTCTTAAAATAATAAAAAAAATAAAAAATGGCTGTTTTGTGGACATTTTGTTCATGAAATGGCTGTATAGTCTGCCTACAAAATACACATTCACCACACATTACGGAAATTATCTACTAAGCGCTTTGAGACTTTTTGATTCAGTCAGCTTGGGACCTATCACTTTGACCACACTCCCCATCAGCAAACAACAACAAATTACATTTCAAACTTCCTCAGTTCTCCCCACCACCACAGTCACCCTTCAACCTTCCCCCCACCCAGCTCATGTGCTTTGAGGCTTCCTCTGAAAGAAATTGTAATTATAATAGATGCTTTATCAAATGCAAGTCTATTTATAACTGTTGTTCCAGAATGAAATCAATTTTTAAGCCAAGAATCTATACTTATTTTACCCAATGCAGTTGCTTTCTGCAGAGAAGTAATGTTATTACTTGGAGGCTGGCTTTTAGTATCTTAACATTATAAATGGTGATTAAAATCTGCACATGCTGACCACATGAAGTTCTTTCAATTGCAGCAGGGACATTATCATTCAATCTTGAGCAAATAATGCAACTTGCAACATTTACAAGAACAAACATGAGTTGGGCTTTATTGCATTTCAAACTTTCATTTCATTTGCTGATCTGGGAAAAAGTGAAAAGGGAACGGAGCATGAGTAAGCAGCTACTCATGATTAGAAATCAATGCAGCCAACATATACCAGAAATTAACCCAAACCATAAATCTTCATTCTATCACTGACTGGTGCTATAAATCAACCCTGCAGAGGAGCAACAAGGAGAACACTGGCCGGGCAGGGTCATGGCCTTCTCCACGTCCCTCGCCCTGCCCGCCCCACCATCAGCGGTCGGGCCTTCAGCCTCTCTTCTCCCACCTTCTGGAACTCCATCTGACATACCCTTCGCCTCGTTCCCTCCCTTGTCTTCTTCCAAGGCAAGTATCAAGATCCTCCTCTTTGACTGCGCCTTCGGCCACCCTCTACCCTCCCTGATCTCCAGCGCTTTGGGACATCCTCCCGACGTGAAAGGCGCCTTTACAAATGTAATTTTGTATTTGTATTTAATAACTTGGATTGTAATTCATACATGTAAATTGGAAGCAAAAGGTTCAGAAAGTGCTTCCATGCTTCTAATCTTGGACTGAACCACTGACGCACCGTAGTTCTGATGATTCTGCAAAGTAAGAAGGCTACCACAATGGTCATCATGGTCAGAGGAAACCAGCAGTGTAAGCTTCGGCACGAGTGCTGGCTCAAATGTTCATACTTGAATTTCCTCAATCTTGTGTAGATTGATTTTGTAGTTGGTGAGAAAATTAGTTGATCTGAAATCATTTACTGGTTGATCCTTCACACAATTCACATATTTATGGGGAAAATTACAATTTATGATGCATTATTTAGTGATCGCTATCAAATTGATAAATGCAGCCAGTGAAAACAACTACTCTGTGAATGTGACCCTCCCTGATCCTGTCAAAGGCTGGGCCTAAAGCTGCTTATAGCAGCTAGGGACTTGCTGGCCTACAGAGCAATTTGTCAAGCCTTCAATTTAATTGGATGGACTATTGATCAAATAATTATCACAAATCACAATTTCTCCTCTTAATTGAACAGCCCTAAGCATGCCTTAATTGAAACAGGAACATTATATTTTTCTCTCTTCACACTCATTTTGTTTTTCCTTCTGCTCCTGAAAGCTTTGGATTTTTTTTCTTTTCATATGGCAGGGGTTGATGTCCCCTCCAGTACCATATCTGCTAATCATACACAAACTTTAGCAATTAAGTGTCAGTGGACACTTTATTGTCAATAAGAGATAAAGTACATGGAAATAGATTTAAATAGGAAATTCACAAAAACATTGGATTGAAAAACTCATGAGCAGAGCTATAGTTGGACTATATCACAGCAACTTGCTGAAGTTGTTATCTTTGGCAACACTTAAAAAGTAAATACCCACAGACGCATATCCCTAGCCAGCAAGCTTCACAATGGAACAAGAAAACAATTAACCCACCTGTATAAGTGAATATCTGCAAAGGATTTGCTATTATTTATGGCAAACACACAGAGGAATCCCTCTCCAGTTCTCATGTACTGATCTCTCATAGCACTATACTCCTCTTGACCAGCTGTGTCCAGAATGTCTAACAAACATGTTTCACCATCAATTACAACTTGCTTCCTGTAGGAATCCTGAAGAGGTAATCAGAATACAAGTGTAAAAATGATTCCTGAACAAACATAACAAAACATTTCAGGTCAGAATATGAATGTAAAGTTGCCCAACTGATCACCTTCATATTTCAACAAGCCCAAAAATAACAAGCACAAAATGATGAGGGAACAAAACAGACATTCTTTGAAGGAACAAATGATGCAGAAATAAAAGTACAAATATATAGATGTATGCAAAAAGGCACATGATCCTTTTAAAAGAATGTTAAAGGATTGTAAAAGGATTTCAACATCAGAGAAATCTAGTAGATACCACAGCGCACCCTGAAATACATTACTTCTGTCAACTTTTTAAAATCTTCTCCACATCCCCCTTGCATGACTGACAGCACAACAGAGTGCAACCAGAGAAACTTTTAAAAAGTAAACATTTTGTAAGGTGATTGCCTATACCACACAAAGCCTTGAATACTTAAGGGCTAAGAAGCCTTGCAACTGTGCTGTAATTATGATTGTGTTTGTGCCAACCAATCATCCTTCAAAGATTTCTGGTTCTTTCCTCTCCTGAAGACATTTGATGCTTCTGAGTTACACAGCAGACACCCTCCAGGACCTCACACAAATGGCCACTGGTCACGTTTGATCCTCAACAGTAAATGTCAATAGGTTAGTTAACTGCAGGAGATATAAAGGTGAATCCAATTGTGTCTTTACTCAATGCAAAAGCACGCCTTCTAGCAGGATTCTTGATAGTATATAGGGAGGAATCTCTTCCCAACTCTGGGATATTGTAGGACCCCACCCATTACCCCATCTGCTCAGCTAACTCAGCAAGGGATTCAATCTTCAAACCTTCTAGTTTTTAAACCCAGTTGCATTGGAAGTGATCCACAAAGCGATTGGTAACTTTTATTCAGTTAGTATATTTTTTCAGGTCAGACTAACATACAATAACCTATCCCCATAATTAAAAGAGTATCCAAAGCAGACTTGGAAATTTCCGTGTGTCTGGAATGGAGTGTGAGCTCTCTTACTAGCGGATCAGACATTTGGAGAGACATTTTTAAAACTAAGCATAATAGGTTTAATTTTCAACTACCCATAGAGGAGGGTTGTAGTTGCTTACCTCAATTGTAGGATCATATTCATCCACAAAGTGGTTCTGAATCAGCTGGATAGTTAAGGCACTTTTTCCCACACCACCAGCTCCGACCACGACCAGTTTATATTCCGTCATTCCTCACTGGCCAATCTGAAAATAGAAGTACATGATCAGCTGTGAATATAATTGATAGAAAATTCCTCAAAAGTGTGAAGATCGATTTCACAAGTTTATTCCCTTCTTTCTAGCAAAACGTAACTTTAAATGAACAGTACTGAAGAAACTTTGCATTCCTTTATTTTAAAGCTAAATACTTCCAGCAATTCCTGAAAAGTGATGATGAAACAAAATATTTTAAAGATTGTTTAAACAGCAAATGTGATTAAATGTTAAATTGGTCGATCATATCACATTTACCAGAAATCAGATTATATTACTTTTTCCTATAAGCTTTTCTCCCTTTAACTAACAGATCTAGTGGCCCCATCATACTTGGTTCAAAATGAGTATCTATTATGTGTAAGCCATGTGTAAAGTGTAGGTCTATTTGGAGTTGTGCAAGCAATGTCCAAAACATTTCATCAGTTGTCCTTTACATAAGGACACATGCAATATTTTCTGTTCAAACAACTTAAATAATACAACAGACCTGAGTATCTCAACAAGATCGCTTTTGGTAACATGGTCACTTTTGGTTTCACATAAGTACAGCAATAAAACTAAAATAAAAACATTTTGTTCATGTTTTCAATGCACTTGTGTATGCACTACTGACACAACATTTTAATAAAGTGACTATTTATTGAACTGCAAATGCTTAATCTGCCAAAATCAAAAGGTTTTCTTACATACACACCAGATTGAGTAATTGCTCTGATATTGAATAGTAAAATAAACATTCCCAAACAAGGTACAAGTGTCTCAGGCCAAAAGCCAATAGAGTGCACGCACACTTCCGTCTCAGTATGATCTCTTCACACAGTGGTGGGTTTCCTTGAAAGACACTGGCATGGATTTTTCTTCTAAAGAAATGCTGACACAACTAGGGAAAGTCCAACATTGTGTTGCTATTTACAGTTTGCAGCTACACAAAGGGCTATCTTGCACTGTTGTGTGGATTCAAACTGTCAGCAATGTGGTATAATACAAGACAGAATATTCCTTTGATTTTCTAAAAATAACCCAGCAAAAGAGATCAAAGCTTTATTCATCTAGCTGCGGTCATTTACTCACAAAATAAAAAGCAGTAGTTACTGGCCTGAACTAAATTTAGCACCTGCCGTGGAAGAAAGAATGCACCAACAAAACAAGTTGGCACTACAATTTACCCAGTTATTACATGGCTATTTTTCAAACAATATATCAGAAAAAAGCTGAAGATCTGAGCAATCATTAATAAGAACTTAATTAAATTACATTACATTGATTTTAATTTTAAAGGACAGAAATCTACATTGAAGATTTTTACTGGATTGGGTGTCCCGACACATAGAAACGCATCAACTTGCTTGCCTTCAAATCAAACTACTGGGAGTTCCATACATGCATGGAAATTTCTATTTGCTTAGAATAGAGTGTACACTCTCATCCCAGAGGAACACACCTATGCTTAACTAATTCTGGAAAGTATATTACGGGGTATGAGTTGGCAAGACCCAAGACTTGGTGACTGCAGAGTATGCAGAAGTTTAAACAGTCAAAAACAGAGTTTACCAATGCAAACACTGACTGTCAAACGTCTAACTACTTGTGACCACCCAACCTGCTCCAAGTCCTGCTCATGAACGAGACCAACTTGTCTGCATAAACTTGGAATAATCTCACCTGCGAAAAGTATTTGCCTGCACACACCCCTGAAGAAGTGTCACGAGTTGATCATTAATAATCTGACAACCATAGGTTTGAAGCATCCGTCAGGAGCCACATGAGGAAGAACACAATTTAGCATAAAACATGTGACTATGTTGCCGCCATATTAAGAAACCCTGCATTTGATATAGCGCCTTATCACGTCATTGAGATGTCCCAAAATGCTTCACATAATACATTGTAAAGACTGTATTTTGTGGGCGAAATGCAGCAGCCAATTGCGCACAGCAGCAATCAGCCAATCGATTAACAACCAGATTGCTACTCACTGTTAAGTAAACAGAGGCGTGTGAAGTAAGGGAACTTGCCTACAGTTTCGCCCCTCCCAGGAATATAATAACAATCCTTGCATTTGATATAGCGCTTTTCACGTCGGGAGGAGGTCCCAAAGCGCTTCACAGAACACAGTGTAAAGTGAATTGACTGTATATTTGTGGGCGAACGCGGCAGCCAAGTGCGCACAGCAATGTCCCACAAACAGTCGTAGATTGAAAATGACCAATTTATTATTGTTTATTTTGGTTTTGGAGGGATTATTATTAGGCTCTGTGTGGAGTAAGGAAACTTGCCCGAGGTTTCGCCCTCTGCCGGGGATTGAACTCAGGTCTCTCACTTGCAAAGCGAGTGCTCTAACCAGAGCTACAAGACTCCACAACCCAGGTCCTCTCACTTGTGAGGCACACACTCTAACCAGTATGCTACGGAACGCCACTATACTTCAGCCCCAACTTCAACCTGGTTGCTTAGATCCATACCCTATCCGTGCCCCCGATCGATGGGGGCTGATTGGGTCTCTAGAACTACATGTCAGAGTCCCTACAACTCCCTTTTGTTGAAAACAAACCTTAAAACCTCCCTCTCTGAATACACTATTGGTCATCTTTTCACTTCGGGTCTTCGCACCCCCCCAGCTCAGGTCCCCTTCCACAATTGTCAAGTGATTTCAGACTTCCTCCCGATGTTAAAAGGCGCTATATGAATTGCATTGTATCTTTCTAACTACATCCCTACCTATTAATGATCATTCCACCAGCAAACCTGAGTTGCATAACCAATTAATTTGATAATTAAATTAGATTAGAAAAAGAAATATATTATTATGTATTATTTCTATATATTTCACTAGATATGTTATCTCCCTCTGCTTGGCTAACTCAAGCCTCACCGCCTCTGTGCCATCGTCGGTGTCCAAGCATTCAGCAATTCTACATCCCAACCTCTGGAACTCCCTCCCTCGCTACCCCCTCCCCTCTTCCTCTATAAATCCTGCCCTTTTGGCTTCAACTAGTCACCTCTACCTTTGCATTCCTCTATTGCTCAACACCTGACCTCATCTTTGTGAAAAGCTTTGAATGCTCTCCAGGTAGGTCAAAATGTACGTGTAATTACAAGTAGTTGCTGCAATGCTCTCAACCTTTCCCGTCATCGTTCTATCTTATCCCATCTGTGCAACAGATCATTCTAAATACATCAAAGAAATCCCAGATACCATCAATGCATTTATCTTTCAAAAAGTGGTTCACTTCTGCTGAACACAATGAAGCAATTTACACCACAATTACATAAATTGAACTTAAAAACATCCTCACAATGAGGCTACACTTGGACATTCTACTCACTCTTCCTCTCAAAACAGCAAAGTTCCCTATCAACAATGATAAAAAATTACACTCGGGTAGCGCCTTTCATGTCGAGGATGTTCCAAGGCACCCAAGGTTATTCATCAAAGATTACAGGAAAAAGTTGTGCCGGCGATTCAAAGATGCAAAATTGTGATTCAAATGCAAATATTACCAAAGCAACTGCAATGTTCAATTAAATCATTGCACAGTGAAGTGCACTCAAATGTCATAGATCAATGGAATAGGGGAACTGATGCACTGACATCAGCTGACGGCACTCTTCCCCCTCCCTCTCCCAAAAACATCTTCTCAGAGAACCAGACACACCCAATTCCAATGAATTTCAATATCATACCTCACCATACATTCAACCCCTCACCCCACACCCCACCACACCGCAGCCCCTACCCCCACGCCCTCTGCCCCCCCCCACACCCACTCTGCCCCCACACACCCACCCTCTCCCCCCCACACACCCACCCCGTGCCCCCCCACACACCCACCCTGTGCCCCCCACCTACCCTCGCCCCCCACCCCACACACTCTGCCCCACTCTCACACACTCTGCCCCACTCTCACACACTCTGCCCCACTCTCACACACTCTGCCCCACTCTCACACACTCTGCCCTCACCCCCACACTCTGCCCCCACCCCCACCCCGCTGCCCCCCACCCCCACACCCGCTGCCCCCACCCCACACCCGCTGCCCCCACCCCACACCCGCTGGCCCCCACCCCCCACCCGCTGGCCCCCACCCCCACCGCTGGCCCCCACCCCCCACCCGCTGGCCCCCACCCCCCACCCGCTGGCCCCCACCCCCACCCGCTGGCCCCCACCCCCCACCCGCTGGCCCCCACCCCCCACCCTCTGCCCCCCACCCACCCTCTGCCCCCCCACCCACCCTCTGCCCCCCACCTACCCTCTGCCCCCCACCTACCCTCTGCCCCCCACCTACCCTCTCCCCCCCCACCTACACTCTGCCCTCCCCCCACCTACCCTCTGCCCTCCCCCCCACCTACCCTCGCCCCCACCCTCTGCCCCCCACCCCACACCCTCTGCCCCCCACCCCACACTCTGCCCCCACCCCACACACTCTGCCCTCACCCCCACACACTCTGCCCTCACCCCCCACACACTCAATACTCCATGACACACACTCATCTCCCCACCAGTTACGTACTCCCCCCATTGCACTTCCCCCCCCGCCTCAGGGGCTGTCCCCTGGGGTCTAACCATAGCCCAGGGGGACCTCGCTCCCCTCACTCACCGTGACTCACCGCTGAGCCCTGCTGTGCCGCGAGCGGCGGGGGCTGTAAGGAGCGCTGGGCCGGGAGGGCTGGAGGGGAGAGTGACGGGCGGGCGGGAGGGAGGGATCCACCGGCCGCTGACGGGCTGAGCTCGCGCCTGGTAACGGCTGCTCCTCGCGCTCCAACCGCCGCCGAACACACCCAGCCGCAGGACCCCACGCGGCCAGCTGCCCGCGGACCGCCTGCCCTGGCACGCCACACGCCCGTCGCCCCCGCTCGCCACTCGGCTACCCGCCGCCGTTAGACCCGCGCGACCGACACCCGGAGCCGCAACCTCCCGCCGCCGCCCCCTTACTCCTGAGGTTCAAATAACCGCCGCTCTTCGCAATCGCCCACGCTTTCATTCAGGCAAAAGAGAACAGTCGTGTGGAGGGGCTTACGGGCGCTTCGGTGCGTATGCGGTGTGCTCCCGTTGCATTCTGGGGGGTGTAGTTCCGTGTGTGTGCGCATGCGTGATGACGTCAACTGACTCATCGGGCTATAAATAGACGATATATAAGGAGCAGAGCAGTAGCTGAGCAGCCACTGAGAGCAGAGGGGCTGAGGCTGCAGCTCTCTCTCACACACACACACACACTCACACAGTGTACATAAATTATAAAATAATTATATACTATACACATACAGATATGTATACATGCATACACTATATATGTTTACACTAAATATATATATGCACACATGTACATATATGTTTACACACATACAACACAAATGTGCATGAATGTGCACTGTATAATAATAATAATAATACTTGCATTTGGTATAGTGGCTTATCAACTTTGGGCAAAATGCTTTGCAATATACTCTAATAATAATATAATAATAATCCTTGCATTTGATATAGTGCTTTTCTTGACACCTCAAAGCGCTTCACAGAATAGACCATAAAGTGAACTGACCGTATATTTGTGGGCGAAACGCGGCAGCCAATTGCGCACAGCAATGTCCCACAAACAGTTGTAGATTGAAAATGACCAATTTATTATTTTTTGTTTTGGAGGGATTATTATAATAATAATAACACTAAAGTGAATTGAGTGTATATTTTGTGAGTGAAATGTGGCAGCCGATTGTGCATAGCAGCGTCCCACAAACAGTCATGGATTGAGTGACCATATTTCTTTGATGGAATTATTTGCACCTAAGATAGTACAATTGCACAGCTGCACCATCATGCAAGTTGTGCGTAATGTGAGCGTTTGCTTCCCGGCATGCAACTATAACCATTAGATCTATTTCACCTTAGAACTGAACACTGCAGGGACAGGCTGGGGAAACTGTGCTATCATTAGACCTGGAAAAGGGTAGAGAGAGGGGGTATTTATATAGCGGGGACACAACGACAAGGATAAGGCAGTTCCCCCTTCCCAGAATGAGAACACTCTTCTAAGTTTTAATCTATCTAATGTCACCTTACGGGATCTATAACAGGAGTGTTCGAAGGGATGTTCTGATTCTGTGCCAATTTCAGATCCCAAGAAATCCCAGTGGCTATTTTTGAAGTCACTTAATTGAATTCAAAGAAGAATATTTCCCCGAGCTCCAGTGTGAACTATTTCCATCCTTCCCACCTGCTCACTCAGAAAGAACATTAAAAATGACTCAATATTATCATTTCTGAGAAGGGTCATTGGAGTTCATTATGCAGCATGTGTGAGTGCAAGTATTCAGAGTAATTCTAGTCACCAATAATTATTTGACTGCTCCTCAGGCTAGACTGAAACCAGAGAGCCTCAAAAATAAATATATCAAACATTGGTATATTTAAGTTAATTGCTAAAAACAAAGGAAGAAACTTAGGAGGGTCTTTTTTCAATGCAGGCATATAAATTATACAGTTTTGTTCACAAAATATACAGTCAACTCACTTTATATATTGTGAAGAGCTATGAGACATCTCAATGATGTGATAAGGCGCTATATCAAATGCGAGGGTTATTATTATTATGATTATGCAGCATGGTATTGAGCTTGGCTCACTCGGTAGTACTCTCAGCTCTGAGTCAGAAGGTTGTCGGTTCAAAGCTCAGTATTAGAACTTACAACTCGTAGACGAGGCTGATACTCCAGCTCAGTGCTGGGGGCGGGGTGAGTGGGGGGGGTGGGGGATACGCTGCATTATTGAAGGTACCATCCTTTTAATGAGATATTAAACCAAGGTCTCATCTGCCTGTTCAAGTGGATGATAAAGATTCCATAGACCTATTCAAAAAGAGAAGAGTTTCTCTCGGTGTGCTCTCTGGCCAACGATCTGCCAGATAAAATTGATCACTTCTTGCCTATTTGCAGGACATTGCTGTGTGTAAATTGGATGTCAGGTTCCCTGACAAGATACACAGTCACTACACTTCATAGTAAAATACTGTGAGGCACTCTGAGATGTCTTGACCACATAATAAGGCACTGTATTAAATGCAAACATTATTATTATAATTTAGTGCTCCATCAAAACAACAACAATGCTTTAATACAGTACCTTTCACATCGGGAGGACATCCCAAGACGCTGGAAAATTCTGCTTGAAGCACTTTCCAGAATAGCTGTTAAAAGGGAATTAGTAAAACATCTGAATAGAAGAATAGAAAAATATAAAAGGCTGTGGGGAGAAATGAACTTAATATTAGTGTTAATGTTACAGCCTGATTTTTTTTTGGTCAGTCAGCTATTTGACACATGCAGAAAACCTTCACCAAGGCTGAGTATCTGAACTAGAGACGCCCCACCTCTGTCCCCTTACACAAGGAGATATCACTTAATATCAGACTATATAGAGGAGTTACTGTTAATATCAGACTATATAGAGGTGTCACTGTTAATATCAGACTATATCGAGGTGTCGTTGTTCATATCAAAAGATATAGAGCTGTCACTGTTAATATCAGAAGATATAGAGGTGTCATTTTTAATATCAGACAACAACAACAACAACTTGCACTTATATAGCACCTCCACGCTAGGCGGCGTCTCAGAGCGCTTAAATATAGTGGTGTCATTGTTAATATCAGACTATATAGAGGTTTCACTCTTAATATCAGACTATATAGAGGTTTCACTGTTAATATCAGACTATATAGAGGTTCTCACTGTTAATATCAGACTATATAGAGGTTCTCACTGTTAATATCGGACTATATAGAAATGTCACATTTAATACCATACTATATAGAGGTGTTCTATATTTTGAGGATGGGGGTGATGACAGCTTATTCTAGTGGGGCGGGAACAGTAAAGTGTAGTGACTTTGTATTTTGAGGGTGAAATACAGCAGCCAGTGCGCGTCCCACAATCAGCCATGGAGTGAGTGACCAATTTTATTTGGGGGATTGTTGACAGGGACGCCGGAAGAGAGAAACTCCCTTCTCTTTATCAAATAGTGCCATGGGATCTTTAATGTCCACCTGAGCAGGCAGACATCTCGGTTTAACATCTCATCCGAAGGGTATTTTATTATGCTATTTTATGAAAGCTTGGATGTTCCTGAGCTGCCTCTGAGGTAAAGTCAGACTGCAGTCTTTTTAAGACTGATAAGCCCATACACTGCAGAGCTCCCTTCTTCCCGGATTGTTTCATGTACGGGTATCAGGCTGGCTTAGTGACTAATACGCTGGGTGGGGGGGTGGGGGGCATCAGAGGTGCTGTTCTTCTGATGAGACATTATAGATCCCGTGGCCTATATGAAAAGGAAGGGAATTTTTCTCTCCTTGTGTCCGGTCCAATGAGCCCTTAGATAAACATGTTTGGCTGTTTGCACCGACATTTCTGTCAAAAATTTGTTGCCATATTCACCTACATTTTACAATAAAATCCTGTGCAGCGCTTTCAGATGTTCTGATGACAATTATTCACAACTGGTGGATTGATGCAAATGCTTGTAAACGTTTGAACATCCGTTAGGTGGCACTGCTGCTTATGCAGTCAGGTCACACTTTGAAGGAAATTGCTTAATGGTCAAAAAAGCCCTCAGAGCTTTGCAGCATCTCATTACGTGACAGGGATCACCGTCAAGCAAAGTGACACAAGCGGAAACCCATCCCCATTCTTAAGAGAATCCGAACCAAGCTGAGAATTCCATGCACCCCAACCACACACGGATAATCCAGAGACAGATTGTTGGAATGGAACGCGCACTCTCTCTCTACCTGGAGGGACGCATCCTGTTTACCTAATTCCGGAAAGTAATAGACCCAGGTTGGTAAGAGCCAAGACTTGGGGACCCCAGAGTATGTATTGGGGTAACTGCTGGAGTCTAACCAACCCAAACCGCAGAGCTTGCATTCCATAGAATCATAGAATCGTACAGCACAAAAAGAGGCCATTCGGCCCATCGAGTCTGTGACAGCTCTTTGAATAGAGCAATTAATGTCAACCCCACTCCCCGGCCCTTTCCCCATAACCTGCAAACCCGTCCTCCTCAAATACCGTCCACCGCGTTTTTAAAAGTAGTTATCGAATCGGCCTCGACCGCCCTTTCAGGCAAAGCCTTCCAGATTCGAACAACTCGCTATTGGCAAGCATTCCTGCTATTTGTCCAGCTAGGACTACCCTGCCCATTAGGGCTTTAGCTTGCAGCGTTAACAAGAGCTGAGTGGGAGGGTTCTCTTGCCCCAGTGACTGTTTCTATAGGCAAAGACAAGGGCCATTATATAATCAGCAACATAGCACAATAGCGCTGTGGTGAATTCACCTGGACGATTGCTGACTAGGAGCAAACTTCTTTCTGGTTTCAAAGTCACAAGATCCTTAACCTCCACCTGTAACCACCTTTAACACCTTCACCTGAAGGACTGCACACCCCTACAAGCTCCATTGATCCCTGAAATAAGTTCAGGCCTCAGTGGAGCTCTGCCCAGGATCAGGCAGCTCAACAAGTGCCTCATTACTGATTGGAGTATCAGCCTGGACACTGAGCTCTAGTTGGGCAGAGACTGGGGGAGGGAGACGTTGGCTCAAATCCACAACTTCTGACCTTGCGGTAAATGTGCTTGTGAGCAAGGCTGACAGTGACATTTGAGAGAGCGACAGAGTGAAGTTACACAGGGCGACACATTAATGTTACAGTTAACAGGTTTAGGACATGTAAGAGTATGATGTTGACAATAATAAATACATTTAACTTTTAGTCTACTTTGAGGTGATTGAATAAATACATTAGTGGGACCCTTGGGGGTTAAATAATAACAATGGATTTAAAAGGTTTGATGTTTATGGCGAGTGTCAGCAGTCTACACCGAGCACTGGGGAGAGCAGTAACACTGGGGCCTCTTAATAATAATAATAATAATAATAATCCTTGCATTTGATATAGCGCTTTTCACGTCGGGAGGACGTCCCAAAGCGCTTCACAGTACACACTGTAAAGTGAATTGACTGTATATTTGTGGGCGAACGCGGCAGCCAATTGCGCACAGCAATGTCCCACAAACAGTCGTAGATTGAAAATGACCAATTTAATTATTGTTTTGGGTTTTTGGAGGGATTATTATTAGGCGTGTGGAGTAAGGAAACTTGCCCAAGGTTTCGCCCTGTGCCTGTGCTCTTATAAACCACACTGAACAAAGAGGCAGAGGACAGCATTTAGACAGTTTCTCAATGTTTCCACAGGAGTTCATTGCCATTGAAAAGTTCTGGTGGGGAATCGAGAACAAGGTAACATAACCATAAAATTAGGATTATTATTGTTATTATTGTTTGGGTGATGCACTTTAAGACCCCTCCTTGACCCAATAAAGTGAAAGGCATTTTATCAAATGTAAGGATTATCATTAATGTTATTATTAATAAAAATAAATTTAAAATATGGGTAAATTAAACAACCAGCCTGTGCTGTCTCTTAATAGGTTTTAGTTAGCACTGTAACCAATTGGTGCATGTGTTTTGTGCGATAAACTGTTATCCACATTCTTCCCATATCGACAACTCGGCCGTGGATCCCACTCAGTGTGAATAATTGGCTTTAGAATCATACAATAATAATCCCTGCATTTGATATAGCGCCTTATCACGTCTTCGAGACGTCTCAAAGTGCTTCACAGAATATACTGTAAAGTGAATTGACTGTATATTTTGTGGGCAAAACGCAGAAGTCAATTGCACACAGCAGCGTTCCACCAACAGTCGTGGATTGAGTGACCAGATTATTTTTTTTTGGAAGCGATCTGCCAATCAACTAACAACCAGGTTCCTACTTACTGCTGGGTAACCAGAGGCGTGTGGAGTAAGGAAACTTGCCTAATGTTTCGCACTGCCTGGGAATCAAACCCAGGTACTCTCGCTTGTGAGGCGAGTGCTCTAACCACTGAGCTACAGAACTCATAAAATCATGCTGTCTAGATGTCCAAATCTACTTTTCCTCCTCCAGCTACAACTCCAGATTCGCCAATGTTCTATCAGCTTGTCTGGCAGACATCCGAGCCCGGATGAGTGTAAACTTCCTGAATTTGGACAAGACAGAAGCCATACTCTTTGGCTCCCGTCGACGTCTTCACTCGTGCGGATCTGACCTCCTAAACCTCCCTGGGTTGTCCCACAGACTCATTGAACTAGTGCAGTGAGTCTGACAGAGAGTCTGTCAGGTTCAACCCCCAGCTGTCCTTCTTTCCCCACATCCGATCCCTGACCAGGACTGCCTTCTTCCACCTCCGCCACATTGCCCGTCTCCGACCATACCTTACCCTAAATGCAGCCGAAGCCCTCGTGCATGTGTTTGTCAACTGTAGAGTCCTGTAGCTCAGTGGTTAGAGCACTCGCCTTGCAAGCGAGACACCTGGGTTCAATTCCAGGCAGGGCGAAACTTCGGGCAAGTTTCCTTATTCCACACACCTAATAATAATCCCTCCAAAATAATAATAAATTGGTAATTTTCAATCCACGACTGTTTGTGGGACACTACTGTATGCAATTGGTTACCACGTTTTGCCCACAAATATACGGTCAATTCACTTTACAGTCTATTCTGTGAAGTGCTTTGAGACGTCGCGAAGATGTGAAAAGCGTTATATCAAATGTAAGGATTATTATTACCTGCCTGGATTATTCAAACACACTCCTCGCCGGTCTCCCCAGCTCCACTACTCAAAAACTCCAGCTCATTCAGAACTCTGCCGCCCGCATACTGACCCGGACCAAACTCCGTACCCCCACCTCGCCAGTTCTGGCCCAGGCTCCACTGGCTCCCCATCACCAAACGGATCGACTTCAAGATCCTCACAGTTGTGTTCAAATCCCCTCAGTCTCTGGCACCTCCCTGTCTCTCTGACCTCCTCACTCCCCAATCCACCACCCGGCATCTCTGCTCGACTGGCACCGGTCTCCTGCTCGTCCCTCGCGACCTCCATTCCACCATTGGAGATGGGACATTCAGCCACTGCGCCCCGAACCTCTGGATCATTCTCTCAATCTCTCTGCCTTCCCCTCTCTCTCCTTTTTCAATTCCCGCCTGAAAACCTTTCTTTTTGACTGTACTTACCTATGCCTCCCTCCCAGCTCAGAGTCAGGCTCCGGCACTGTTAAGCGCTCTGAGACTCTACCCTGCGTGGAGGACGCTGTATAAGTGCAAGTTGTTGTTGGCTAGCGCAGTAATGAAAGCTCCTTTGGTCACGGTCTCGGGTTTGGTAACTTTTCTCTTTATTAATCAGAGTCTATTAATGGCGAGGAGTAGACAATGAACCCTAGGAGAGCACGGGGAGCCATGCCAGGGAACATCTGCTCTGTGAGAGGTCCTCGGAGGATGTCTTCTTGTTACCAGCATCCAAGTATCAGTGGCTGTCGAACCATCTAACGTACAATATCATGTAGAGAGGGAGCTCCTAGGTCTGCAAAGGACAAGCATGAGTCAGGAGAGTACACGAGCAGAGATCATTGATTGAGTAACAATAATAATCCTTGCATTTGATGCAGCGCCTTATCACATCTCAATCAAAGTGCTTCACAGAATATACGGTAAAGTGTATATTTTGTGGACAAAAGTGATGGCAAACAGGATAGGTTTGGGAGGTCGAAGCGGTATATTTTTGCTGTGTGCAAAACTGATGCCACGTTTGGTTACAAATACTGTGCGTACTGTCATTACAGTGGGAGAGAGAGGTCCCGGGTTAGTCCTCTGGGTGAGACAATGGGTGAGAGTTCACAAGTCAGAAACTGTTTGAGGTTGACCCCATCATCCCTCTGTCCGTTTGTGGTGTCCTGTAGTTCAGTGGTTAGAGCACTCGCCTCGCAAGCGAGAGAACTTGGGTTTGATTCCGGGGCAGGGCGAAACTTTGGGAAGTTTTCTTACTCCACACGCCTCTGTTTACCCAGCAGTGAGTAGGAACCTGGTTGTTAGTCGATTGGCTTTTCCGGGGGTAATAATCCCTTCAAATTTTTATTATCCACGACTGTTTGTGGGACACTGCTGTGGGAAATTGGCTGCTGCGTTTGGCCCACAAGATATAAAGTCACTTCACTTTGCAGTATATTCTGTGAAGCACTTTGAGACGTCTCAAAGAGGTGATAAGATGCTATATCAAATGCAAGGATTATTATTGTTTGAGCGGTGTGGCGGTAAGAGAGTGGAATAAAATGAAATGAAAATTTCAAAGGTGAACATAGAGCGATAAATCTCAGTCGAGGGTGTGCCTAGTTACCGCCTGACGAAGGTGCCCTCGTGCTTGTGTTGGCTGCTCTCGGATGGCACGGCTGGGCCTGACATCCCCGAGCCTGTTTGTGGTGTCTGTGCCGTCGAGTCCTCAGATGGCTCCTCACAGGGAAACCCCATCTTCCTGCCACAGAAGCAACACAACAAGGGCGGGTCACAGCCGCCATCTCAAGAGCAATCGAAAACAATAGCAACCACTTGCGTTTAGAGTGGAGTTGTGCAGCGCAGTGGGTAGAGCACTCGCCTCGCAAGCGAGAGGACCTGCGTTCGATTCCTGGGCAGGGCGATACCTTTGGCAAGTTTCCTTACTCCACACTTACTGTTTGCCCAGCAGTAAGTAGGAACCCTGGTGTTAGTTGATTAGCAGATCGCTTTCCAAGGTTAATAATCCCTCCACCCAACAAAAAAATGTGATTACTCAATCCACCAGTGTTTGTGGGACAGCCATGAAGTGAGTGACCGTTGTTTTTCACTTGAGCTGGATATAAATATCAACTCGTCCAAACATTCACCTTTACAGCGAAGCGCTTTGAGATATCCTCTCAACGGGAATTATTGTTGTCCCTGACCAGTCAGAGAGCGATAAAAACATACCAAGTGCAGGACTGTGTCAGTCCAGGCGATTTCACGTGTTCTTTTACCTGTTGAAGAGTCGCCTGCGATCGCCCGAGCTCTTTGTGACGCCGGCCTCTGTCCTGCCCACTTCACTCTCACCCACTTTGGAGTCTGAATTGTGGAAGGTCTATTGAACAGAAAGGAACAAAGGTGACAGTGATGAGAGATGGTTTGGAGTCTCCTCTCCATTGCCTGAGGGCTCTCAGTGAGTCAGTCAGTGCTCACAGACTGATCGGCCCAGGTTCATGTACAAGAGAGAGACAGTCATCACACTAATTGGGACTGACTGATTGCAGATAAGCCAACAGTGCGGGGAATAATAATAATAATCCTTGCATTTGATATAGCACCTTATCACTTCTCCGAGACATCTCAAAGCACTTCACAATATACTGTAAAGTGAATTGACTGTATATTTTGTGGGTGAAACTGGGCAACTGGGCCTCGCACAAAATACACTGTCAACAACATTAACTAACACCGCTTTCGCCCACAAATATATAGTCAATTCACTTTACAGTGTGTTCTGTGAAGCGCTTTGGGACGTCCTCCCGACGTGAAAAGCGCTATATCAAATGCAAGGATTATTATTATTATTATAAACAATTGCTCCATCAAGGAGGTATTCTGTCATTGTAATACACACTGTGTCAGTCCTTCACCCTCTGTGCCTCACTCTCTCTGTCACTCTTGATGTCTAATTCTGTCATACTCTCACTCTCTTTCTCCCTCTCTCTGTCTTTTCTTCTCTTCAGAAGTCACTGTATTAAACTATCACTTACCAACTGAGGGGCATTCTGTTATGCTCATGTGCAAGAGGTTACTGAGGTGCAGATTGCGACCATAACAACCTCAAACACTTCAAACCCCTCATACCCCCATCACACCTCACACCCCTCACAACACAGCCTTACATCTTGTGCTAAGGTTACGCTGTTCTATGGCTCGTGCCAACAGTATGGAGAGTATCAATATTGAGAACAATCTGCACTTCGAACCAACCACCTCACAGAGACACAGCGAGCAGGGTTGGAGATGGTCGCATTAGCTAAAGAGACAGGGTTTTAGACAGGTTTTGAGGGAAGGAATGAGAGGCCGAGGGATTTAGGCAGAAAGTTCCAGAGAGCAGGGGCAAAGTGGCTGACAGCTCAGCTGCTGATGGTGGGGTGGGACGGGCTGGAGACATGAAGCGGCCTGGGTTGGCAGAGCGGAGTGAACAGGCCGGCGAGGGGGATCGGGGGAGATGACAGAGGCAGAGCGGAGTGAGGTTAGGGAGGCTTCTGTAGACACGAGTGAGGATCTTAGTGAGAATCAGAGAGAGAATGAAAAGAGTCTGTCAGTGAATTTCACTCACCGTGAGCTGCTTTGGGATGACAGCGATGCTCACTCTTCTGCGGGCTGTACTCTAGGAACAGAAGGAAGAGTCCTTGTTAGCTACATAGAATCATAGAATCTTACAGCACAGAAGGAGGCCATTCGGCCCATCATGCCTGTGCCGGCTCTTTGAAAGAGCTACCAACTAGTCCCACTCCCCTGCTCTTACCCCATAGCCCTGCAAATGTTTCGTTTTTAAGTATCTATAGAATTCCCTTTTGAAAGCTGTTATTGAATCTGCTTTCAAAACCTTTGAGACAATACATTCCAGTCCATAACAACTTTCTGAATAAAAACATTTCTTCTCATCAGCCTCTGAACGAACACAGTTAGACAAGCCAACACATTGCTACTGCCTGTAACCTGGAATATAATAAGAATTAATAATAATAATCCCTGCAATTGATCAATGGGGTCCTGTAGCTTGTTGGTTAGAGCACTCACCTCGCAAGCAAGAGGACCCCTGTTCGATCCCCAGACAGGGCAAAACCTTAGGCAAGTTTCCTTACTCCACACACCTCTGTTTACCTACGAGTAAGTAGGAACCCAGTTGTCAGTCGATCGGCAAATTGCTTTCTGGGGGTATTAATCCCTCCAAATAAAATTGGTCATTCGTTTGATTGTTTGCGAAAAACTGCTGTGTGCCACGTTTTGCCCACAATATATACAGTCAATTTACTTTGCAGTATATTTCATGAAGTGCTTTGGGACCTCTCAACGATGTGATAAGGCTCTGTATCAAATGCGAGGATTATTATATTATTATTAACAAGATCCGAACATAGAAACATTTCAGAGTGCTTCACACATTGAGCTACTTTGAAGACTTGTGCCTGACTCAGTAGGCAGCTCTCCCATGTTTGAATCAGAAGGTTGGGGGTTCAAACTCCATATTGGGACTTTGAGCTCATAGTCTAAGACCCTTCAGTACAGTGGTGAGAGGATTCTGCATTGTCGGAGGTGCCATCCTTCAAATTAGATGTTAAACCCAGATCCCATCTGCCTGTTCAAGTGGATGTTAAAAATCTATTTGAAAAGAGAAGGTATTCAATCTCCCTTGGCCAACAATCCATAATTAAATCAGTCACGCACTCCATGGCTGTTTGTGGGACTTTGCTGAGGTAAACTGGCAGCTGGGTTTGGCTACAACTGCAGAGTCTCTCCACTTGACAGCAATTGATTGTGAAACGCTTTGAGATGGATCAAACGCATGGATTATTATCAACATCATCATCAACATGCTGAGGGAGGAGTTGTGAGTTACCTGTTGTATAGCTCGCATTATTTGATGTTTGTTTCGCAGTTCTTCATCGGCTGCAATAGATTACACTGACATTTTGTTGCGAGATCTTCAAATGTACCATGTTTCATTACAGCAAAGTATATTTTTAATAAAACAACCTGCTGCCCCCATGCTCCCCTCCTGAAGGTATTAAAGTTTGCCGAGACATGGTTCTATAGTGTCTAATTTACCACAAACATCCAGTTTACAGCTATAAACTACAGTATAGTGGAGTCCAATAGTTCAGTGGTTAGAGGCCTCGCCTCACAAGCGAGAGGACATGGGTTTGATTCCCGGGCAGGACAAAACCTTCAGCAAGTTTCCTTACTCCACACGCCTCTGTTTACCTCGCAGTAAGTAGGAACCTGGTTGTTAGTTGATTGGCGGATCGCTTTCTGGGTGTAATAAACCCTCCAAAAAAACCCACGAATGTTTGTGGACACTGGCTGCTGTATGCATTTGGCTGCTGAGTTTTGCCCACGAAGTACACAGTCAACTCACTTTACAGTATACTCCGTGAAACACTGAGACATCTCGAGAATGTGTTAAGGCGACTCAGGTCTCGGTTCTCGCTATATCAGGCGTTATATCAAACTCAAGGATTATTATTAAACACTTGTAAATCTGGCCATACTTAACGAGTCTTCATTCTTGCTCCCTCTCCTGATCAGAGAAAAAGCTCAACACCAACAATCTCATTGCTGCCCTAGGACAGCCCCCCCTCGCCTCCCCACACCATCACATCGTATTATTGTATTTACATTACAGAACACTTAATCTTCTAAATTAGAGGAAGGAGTTATGAGGAAAGATTAGGTGAGCTCGGGGCTGCAGTTCGGAGAGGGAGATGTCTCAGGAGGACCTAACAGAAATTTGGGCTTTACTTGTTCAATCCCAAGTGCTATCGGATGCTCTGAGACATAGAATAGGAGGCACGGGTTTAGAGTTGTAAAAGGGGAAATTTCAGCACTTGGGTCAGGGTGAGGGTGTTTGTGTGTGGGGGGGGGGGTGGGTGAGTGTGTGTGGGGGGGGTGGTGAGTGTGTGTATGTGTGTGGGGGGGGGTGAGTGTGTGTGGGGGGGTGGTGAGTGTGTGTATGTGTGTGTGGGGGGGGTGTGTGAGTGTGTGTGTGTGTGTGTGGGGGGTGAGTGTGTGTGTGTGTGTGGGGGGGGTGAGTGTGTGTGTGTGTGTGTGGGGGGGTGAGTGTGTGTATGTGTGTGGGGTGGGGGGTGAGTGTGTGTGTGTGTGTGGGGTGGGTGAGTGTGTGTGTGTGGGGGGGGGTGAGTGTGTGTGTGTGTGTGTGTGGGGGGTGAGTGTGTGTGTGTGTGAGACAGGAGCTGACTGGGTACCTGGTGTATCTGGGAATGGCCGGGAGCGAGAGTTCTGCAGGATGATTCTCCTCATCTCCTGGAGCTCAGTGTGTTCCCTGACGTGGAGCCTCTTCAGGTTCTCCACGTGCTGGATCATCACCTCCACTCCCCGGCTCACCCGGGCCTCCTGTAACACACAGCGCCCAGCGTGACAGACCCCCCACTACACCCCTCTTCCCCCAGCTACACCACTGTGCCCCCACCCACGCCCCTCTTCCCCCAACCCCCAGCTACCCCACTCTGCCCCCAGCCTCCAGCCACAAATCCCCACCCGCACAATCCCCACCCATACTCCTGTCCCCATCCACAACCCCTGCCCTCGCCCGCAACCTTCTGCTCTCAACCCCCACCGGTTTCTCAGTGAGAGCGGTGAGAATCCACCATGACCAGGGCAGTATAATTGGCCTGCTGTCTCCTCCAGCTTCCAAGGAATGATTCCTGACCCCCAGTAGCAGAGGCAGACACACCTGATGGACAGCTCCCAGCACCTCGGAGCGGCCGGACACCCGTGTTATTGATGTGTCGAGGATCTGAAGGCTCTTCTCCAGCTGGGCCAAGATCTCCTGCCGTCTCCCGTCCACACACACAGACATCAGCCTCTGAGCAAACATCGCTCCAGGTCAAACCTGCACACTGCCGTGTCACGGCCCGATCACCGGCCCTCCCCCCCCAATTACCCCCGGATTAACCCCGGATCACCCCCGGATTACCCCGCTCACTGGCCCCTCGTCAATACTGCGCGTGTGCAGGCCCGGGTGCTCAGTGTGTTCACAGTTCCCTCAAACATGTTTCCACCTTCTTTCATCTAGCAATTCTTATGTTCAGCGCCTTGGGACGTCCTCCCGACGTGAAAGACGCTCTATAAATGGAATCTTCTTGTTGTTCGGTTAACCGGCGCATTCCTTATCTGTAGTGCTACTCGCAGGCCTGGGCTCCCGCGCATGCCCTGCCCGTGCCCTGGTACCTGCAGGATGGTTTTGCAGCCTTGCAGCTCCATCTGGATGTTCTCCTCCGCCACGTCCCGCGCTCGCTCCTCCACTTGGAGACGCTTCTTCAAGGTGAATGTGTCGGATTTGAACGCGAGAGACAAGTGGATGAAGGCCGACTAAAAGAGGCAGAGGCAGATCATAAGGGGAAGAGTTACAGACAGAGCTGTCCCCAGCCCTCAACCCCAGTCCCCAGCCCTAACCCCCAGCCCTCAAACCCCAGTCCCCAGCCCTAACCCCCAGCCCTCAATCCCAGCCACCAACCCCCAGTACCCAGCGCTCAACCCCCAGTCCCCAGCCCTCAACCCACAGCCCTCAACCTCCAGTCCCAAACCCCAGTCCCCAGCCCCCAGCCCTCAACCCCCAGTCCCCAGCCCTCAACCTCCAGCCCTCAACTCCAGCTCTCAGCCTGATTGGGACCCTGGGCACCAGGCAGCCAGACCTGCTCACAGCCTGATGTCTATGATGGATCCATTCAAGTTTTCAAGACTGAGGAGCAGATGTTTGTTAGGTCAGGGGATCAAGGGATATGGGGCAAAGGCAGGTAAGTGGAGTTGAGGTACAGATCAGCCGTGATCTTATAAAATGGAGGAACAGGCTCGATGGGCTGAATGGTCTATAATGTTCCTATGTGACAGAGAATCAGACTAAATCTTTCCACTCACCTCCACTTCCTTGTCAGTCAGAAACTCTCTAGAAGATAAAAGAGATTTGTTTAAAACGCCACCTCATTGGTAATCTTTGCATTTGATATTGCGTCTCAATTCACTTCACAGGGAATTGCTGTCAGGTGTAGTGATTGTGCATTTGTGGACTATTAAGTGAATGAGCAATTTATTGGTAAGACAGGACCTCAGCTTAATGTCTCATCCAAAGGACAGAACCTCTGAAAATGCAACGCTCCCCAGCATTGAGAGCAGTGTGTTAGTGCCACCGTCCTTCAGGTAAGACATTAAATTGAGGTGCTTTGTGTTTTACTATGTGGTTTTAGCTGGTTAGACTCCAGCAGCACCCCAACACACACTCTGGGGTCCCCAAGCCTTGGCTCTTGCCAACCTGCGCCTAATACTTTCCTGAATTAGGTAAACAGCATGAGTCCCTCCAGGGAGACATTAAAGATTCCATGACTCTTTGAAAAGAGAATGGCGTTTCTACCGGTGGCGTAACCAACAATCATCTAAAAAACGGAGAGTGATAAATAAATATCCAGAAGCCCATCGCAGGACCCAAATATTGTTGTAAAACTACCGGAAAGTTATCTAACCATAGGATCAGTTTCCAGACTTGCAACACATTCCCACATATCTGTCCAGAGGGTTTGTTGCAGAGGGCTGGTCAGCCGGGTGTCTGACACATGCGGAAACCCATCACCGTGCTTAAGAGTATCCAAACCAAACAGAGTTTCATGCATCCTCCCCTGCACATGGAAATCCCATGTTGGAATGGAATGCGCTCTCTCTCTCTCTCTCTCTCTCTCTCTGCTGGAGGAACACATCCTGCTTACCTAATGCCACAAATTATTTGGTGCAGGTTGGCAACAGCCAAGGCTTGGAGACTTCAGAGTGTGCATTGGGGTAACTGCTGGAATCTAACCAGCTAAAGCCACGTAGTTTGTCATTGAGAGCGCTGTCTGGCAAGCTTTCCCGCGGTTTGTCCAGCTTCATCCACTCACCTGTGAAGACCCAGCCTTTTCAGAATGGAGATGTCCTTCTGAGCATCAGACAGAGAATCATCTGAGGTGCTGTCTGCAAAAGGAACACAAACAGCACAGCTGTAAACTTCAGGCCAGCAAGCCCCTCACCACAGCAGAGTCGAACCAGCTTCCCACCAAATGTTAGTGCTTCCTGCCCCTCAACAATATTCCCATAAACGAAAGACAAAATACTGCAGATGCTCGAAATCTGAAATAACAACAGAAGTCGCTGGGAACACTCAGCAGGTCAGGCAGCATCTATGGCGAGAGGAAAGTGGGTTAGTCAGAACTGATGGAAGGTCATCAACCGGAGACATTAACCCACTCTCCTCTTTTCATAGATTCCGCCCCCCCCACCCCCCACACACACACACACACCTCTGACCCCCCTCCCACCCCCCAGGTGTGTTCCTGGTTAGGTGTGTGGCACATGAGGTTCAGACATAGCAAGGAAGTGAAAATAATGACACAGGACACAAGGTCCTGAATGACAATAAATTGAAGCTATCGCAATAGCGCTCAGTGACAGTGAGTCAGGCAAACAGGATGTTGGATTATATTAAAATGGCAAGATTGAGACGAAATAGTGGGGAAATCCCACCACTTTATAAATCCCTGGTGTGACCGCACTTGGAATAATGTGTGCAGTTCTGGCCACCGCAATATAAAAGGGACATTGCAGCGATTAAGAGGATACAACAACAACAACTACTTGCATTTATATAGCGCCCCTCGCACAGTGTAGCATCCAGAGCGGTGACCAGGATACAGAGGAGGGCAACCAGAACGATTGAGGGGATGGGGGGGACTGGACTATGAGGAGTAATTAGATAAACTGGGCATGTTCACACTGGAGAAGAGAAGGTGATACGATTATGGTCTTTAAGATTCTAAAGGGACCAGATAATGTAGACCACGATAAGTTGTTAAGTTGTTTATCTTGTACTGAACAGTAGACCCAGAGGACACGGCCTGCAATTGAAGATGGGTAAATTCAGAACAAATTTGCAAACACTGCTTCAGTGAGCGAGCAGTAAAGGTATGGAACAGGCTCTAGGGAGATGGTGGAAGCAGAAAGCGTTGTTTGTTTCAATAATAAGTTAGACTTCTGTTAGGAAATAATATCTCAAAACATACTATATAGCTTGGGACATGACATGACAAGCGGCTGCCGGAATGATGGACTTTGGTCTTCTTTCATCCAGCAAATTCTTATGTTCATAAGGCAAAGAGGCAACACGGGAGGAATGCCTCTGGTAAACAGTCACCATTAAGTCCTCACCTTCCTCGCTCTCTTCACTGTCCGCAACTCTAACATCTGCCACTGTCTTGGGATCACACGGGATATCAGCATTGTCACCGGTCTCTCCGGATTTCTGGAATAATAATAGCAACAACAACAATCCTTACTAATAATAAAAACACAAGGTCGCTGGGAACACTCAGGAGGTCAGGCAGCATCTATGGAGAGAGGAAAGTAGGTTAATGTTTCAGATCGATAACCTGAAACATTAACCCACGATAAGGCGTAGTATCAAATGCAAGGATTATTATTACTATTAAATGCAAGCTGCTGATCTTATTCCTTAAGATCGCCACCAAAATAACACAGGGAGAGGTTGGGGTTTTGCACAGAAAGCTCTCAGGAGATCGATTACATGATCAAACCCATTGGTCAAAGCAGAAATAAACAAGATAAATATCTAAGAGGAGGGTAAGTGGAAAAGGCTGGGATTGGGGCAAAACAGATGGAAATGGCTCCTCTTTTCATATATTTGGACACTGTCATGGGATCTGAGGAAATGTCAATGTTTTCTCAAGGATCAGTGTGGAAACCTGGGCAAGGTGGGGAGGATGGGAGGGCGTGACTGAAGGCCCAACAGGAAGAGGTAGGTTATCGGAAGGCATTTGAAAACAGAGCACGAGGAAGGGAAAGAGGGAGGGATGGAAGGAGTGTGGGAAAGAAGGAGGGAAGGAGGGATGAAGGGAAAGAAGGATTTTAGGAAGTAGTTCCAGAGAACAGGATATATTGGCTGAAAGTTTGACTGTGGATAGTGGGGTTGGGGCAGGGATGTGAGTCCCACCCGAGTCGGGAGACTGTGTGTAGACTGAGTTCCAATCTTAAGTCAGGTTTCCACTCTTGAGCACTCGATGTACCTGTGGTTGGGGGTTTGTCCGACCCAACAGGAGAGACGTGGGTCGCAGGAGGGATCTGCCTTCCATCCATTGCTCCCTGAGAGTGGAGAGAACTTTCCTACTGTACTCAGCTTGTGTTTATGTGCGCAGGCTGTGCGAGAGCTGATTCATGGCAGGTGTCCCCACTGTGGAGTGGGCGCTGCTGTCTGAGCTTTGTTTAAAGTGTGAGATGCTTTGTTTAGACATTAGGCTCATTAATCAGAATCTCAGTAAGCTCTGGCCTGATGTAAGCGCACACTGAGATACCGCTCCAGTCAAAACATTGCCCTATTAGTACATCTAAACTCCACTCCTTTCCAACCCAGCGCCGTGCTCTCACCTTCTGGGGTTGATGTTTCTCATCACTGTGTTTGTCCCAACTCAAATAGTAGTTTCTCCCTGGGGCCTGAGCTCACAGTCCAGGCCGACAGTAACAACAACTTGCATTTGCATAGCAGCCCTCACACAGGTTAGCGGCTCAGAGCAGTGATGCTCCAGTGAAGTGCTGGGGGACACTGAGCTATCAGAGATGCTGTCCCTCAGATGAGACGTTAAAGCAAAACCCTTGTCTGCTTATTTAGACAGATTCTATTTGAAAAGAGAAGAGTTTCTCTCTCCTGGTGTCCTGGCCAATAATCCCCCAGATAAAATTATAATAAGTTATAGAACTCTAATTCTAATAATTAATAATATTATTATTATATAAAATTGGTCATTTATTTCACGGCTATTTGTAGGGCATTGCAAGATTTATTATTATTATTAATAATTATTATATCCACCGATTGCACACACCTGCACCCATGGAATGTCTCCCCCCCCCCCATCTCTCTCTCCCCCATCATACCCATTTACCACCTCCCCCACCAGCCTCAGTGCATAAATATAATAATAAAAAACCTTGCATTTTACATAGTGTTTTATCACATTGTTAAGATGTCTCAAAGCTCCTCACAGAATATATTTTAAAGAGCATTCACTGGGTATTGTTTTTTGTGGGCGAAACGCAGCAGCCAACTGTGTACGGCGGTCCCACAAACAGTTGTGGATTGAGTGACCAAAATTTTTCATTTTTGGAGGGATTATTAGCCCCGGAATAGCGATCCGCCAATCGACTAACAACCGGGTTCCTACTTACTGCTCGGTACAGAGGCGTGTGGGGTAAGGAAACTTAACCAATGTTTAGCCCCGCCTCAAAATCGAACTTGGGTCCCCTCGCTTGTGAGGCGAGTGCTCTAATCACTGAGCTACGGGACTCCACTGTAGGTTTAAATATTTACCTCCTGTGTTGTTTTGTGGTGACTGACGTTCTTCATTTTCAAACTACCATCTGCGGAGAGACAGGAAGCGGTTAGTACAGGCAGAGTGATGGTGCCTGTTGCTGGGCGCTGGTAATTCCAAAATGAAGGAATCACTGGAATCGTTTTCCCACCAGTTCTTTACATCCCAGGGGAGTCCATCTGAATGACTCTGAACGGAAGAATTCCCAGCGTTCCCAGTGACTGGTCGGCCCTTCCAGGTCCTGCCGATGAGCCAGGCTGGGCTGTGCTGTCATCAGCAGTGATGCTCTAGTTACTGCGGACCCGCCTGGCTCAGGAACCAGACTAGAGACCATCACAGAGGGGTGGCTCCATCCTGACATTCCATTGCCAGTTCAGCCACCAAGGAGACCCTGTTTACCCCCCTCCCCCAGGAGGATAGTCATTAAAGTTGAGCTTTTAAAAATATTTAGACAAATACTTGCGAAAGAAAACTATAAAAGGATGCGAGAAAGCTCAGGTGTTAGGACTAAACAGAGAGCTCCTCCAGAGAGCAGATAAAGACACAATGGGCTGAATGGCCTCTGTGCTGTAGGAATGTATGACACCGTTTCTCTTACGGCCGCTGTGTGGGGTGTCCATCGTTGAGACCTGCCTCTCCCTCTCTGGCCACTGCTCCGAGCTGGAAGGTAAAGTTTAGCTTTTAGTTTTGAAGGATGCTGTACTCTGGATTTCCTCCACTCCGTCACCAACACACAGTTGGTCAACACTGTACACAGGTGAACAACAACAACAATGTGCATTTATATAGTGTCCATTATGCGGGATAATGTCTGGGAGTGGTTTACAGGATTGGGGGTTAGACGCAAGGGAGTGGGGGGGGAGGGCTTCCTGACCCACTGTACAATGAGTCAAAATTTGCGGATATTTCTCAAAGCATTCCTCATGCTAATCGTGACAAAGGGACATGTCCTGGTTGTTCTAATGCTGCGATGGCAAAGAGGAGACCTTCTGAGAGGCGCAGGTGTAGATAGGCAGCAGAGACTCACAACCTGTTCCTCCCGGCCTCTCTGACAAAGCAGCGCTCTCCACCCCCACCCTGCCCTGGAGGGTCAGGCTGGACTGACAACAAGCAGAAAAGTCACTGCAGTGAATATTTCTGATCATTTAATGAACAGTCAGGTGTCTGACACACGGAAAACCACATCACCCTCAATACTACGATGCAACCAATTGTGGGTTCAATTTCCCCTCCCTCCCCTCCCATTGAAATTCACATCAGAGCGGCTGATGCTGGACGTGACCAGGTGACACATTGATGATGTGTATGTGAACCATTCTCACCCGGGAGACATTGAGCCCTCAGTCCATCCAGCTCCCAGCTTCTGCTCCCCAGAGACCTGGAAAAGGAAATAATAATAATAATAATCTTTGCATTTGATACAACGCCTTATCAAGTCTTCGAGACGTCTCAAAGCGCTTCAAAGAATATACTGTGAAGTGAATTGACTGTATATTTTGTGGGCCGAACGCAACAACCAATTGCACACAGCAGTGTCTCACAAACAGTCGTGGATTGAGTGACCAAATTATTATCATTTTTTTTTAAATTGTGCTATCCACCACCTGTCCTTCGGATGAGATGTTAAACCAAAGTTTTGTCTGCCTCTTCAGGTGGGCGTTAAAGATTTGTGGGCAGACATTGCTGTGTGCAATTTTGCCTACAAATAAACTGTCACTTCATTTAACAATAATTCCTGTGAAGCAAATTGAGACGTCCGTCCAATGTGATAAGGCGCTATACCAAATGCTGAAAAGTGGGTGTGAGATAATATTAATAATACATGCATTTGATATAGCACCACATCAAGTCATTGAAACATCTCAAAGTGCTTACAGAATATATAAGTATATTTTGTGGGTGAAACGCGACAGTCAATTGCACACAGTAGTGTCCCAGAAAGCGATCTGCCGACCGACTAACAACTGGGTTCATACTTACTGCTTGGTGAACAGAGGCGTGTGGGGTAAGGAAACTTGCCCAAGGTTTCGCCCTGCCTGGGAATCGACCCGGGTCCTCATGGCTTGCAAGGCAAGTGCTCAAACCACTGAGCTAAAGAACTCCACACTGATGAGGCCCGGTGGCTCAAGCGGAGATAAACAGCAGTGTAGAGTTGATGGGCCGATCAGCCTGTGTCACTATTGTAACATTTGGTGATTCTATGAAAAGCTCATTGAATATTCCTTGTTGGAAAGAGCGAGCAATGGCACGTGTGAGAGGTCTCGTACCTCGGGAGAACCTGGGATCTCCTGGTCCCTCCAGTATCCCAGCAACTCATCCGTGTGGAAGGTGGGCACCGGGAACAGCGAGGAGGCTGAGAGCGAGCGCTGTAGTGTGAGCGGCAGTTTCTTGGCAGAACTCATCTCCTCCCAATCCTGTCAAGAGACTTTGATATCAATCAGTAAGTGGGGAACATGCAACTCATTGAATTAGGTTAGAAACAGGGTGGTCCCTTTGTAACTGAGAGAGATTCACTCTCTGGTCAATGTTAGAGCACAGAACCTGAGCCTCACAGTAACTCTGCTCATATAGCACGGCTTAAATACAGAGTAAAGCTCCTTCCACACTGTGTGTCCAACAACAACAACAACAAGATTCCATTTATAGAGCGCCTTTCGTGTCCAGCAATCCCTGTCCAGCACCAGTTTTATAATAATAATAATCCTTGCATTTGATATAGAACCTTATCACGTCTTCAAGACGTCTCAAAGCGCTTCACAGGATAGACTTTAAAGTGAATTGACTGTATATTATGGGGCGAAATGCGGAAAACATGGCAGCCACTTTGCACACAGCAATCTCCAATAGCTACGAAGTGAATGACCAATTTATCTGAGGGATTTGGTGCCCACGACACTGGGAGGAACTCCTTTAACAAAGCCTGAAGCCTGGAAGCAGATTGCCCTCCATTTAGTGTCTGATTTAAAGGACATTATTTAGGAATAATGCAGCTCTCGCCAGCACTGTGCTGGAGCGGGGGGAGCGGGACTGTGAGCATTCCTTCCTCTGAAGCAGAAGGATGTGGGCTTCGTCCCCATGTCAGAGACTTTGAAACTCACAATCTATGCCGACACTCTGACACTTCTGGGGGAGCGTGTGTTGTTGAAAGTCCCAACTTTCACGTGTGACATGAAATGGAGGTCCTGCTTGCCCATTCGGTTAGATGTTAAAGATCCTATAACGCTTGAAAAAAAGAAGAGAGTTTCTGTCTCCCTATGCTCTGGCCAAAAATCTCCCTGTTCATGAAACGCTGCTGTGTGCAAAATGGCTGCAACTCTCATCAACAATACAGTCACTACACTCTACATTAAATCCCGTGAAGCATTTTGGGAAGTCTTGATGATGTGAAAGGTGCTAGACCAAATGTAACAAGAATTGTTATCATAATATCTCCCTCATCCAAATTTACTGAAAGAGACAGCTAATTCATCTGTCATGTGCCATGTGTATGCTTAGATAACAGTCACTACACTTCAAAATAACTCACTAAAAGGTGCACTGAGACTCTTTGACATCATCAGGGGGTATTATCAAGTGCAAACATTATTGTTTCCTCATTATTTTGCTCTCTCTCTTCCCCTCAATTGTGTTAACACCTTTCCTTCTCAATTCTATACGTTGCAGCCACTTACACCCAAAAAACAAATAATAATAATTCTTATTATAATAATAATAATCCTTGCATTTATTATAGCGCCTTATCATATCAGTCGGATGTTTCAAAGCCTTTCGCAGGATTCACCATGAAATGGAGTGACTGTGTATTTTGTGGGTGAAACGCGCCACCACAGTTGCTCACAGCAGAATTGCACAACAGCTGTGGACCGATTTTATTTGGGAGATTATTGTCCAGGACAGCGGGGGAAACACACGTTTCTCTTCAATAAAAACCGTGGGATCTTTAATGTCCACCTGAACATGCAGACGGAGCCTCGGTTTCACATCGCACCCGAAAGACATCACCACCGACAATGCAACCCTCCACCCCCAGCACTGCATTGGAGTGTCAGCTTAGACGACTTGCTTCCAAGTCCCGACTTGAACCCACAACAACAACAAAAACAATTTACATTTGGACAGTGCCTTTCACGTCAGGAGGATGACCCAAAAGCACTGGACAGTCAGGCTTTATTCCAGCTCTATCAATGCTGGAAATACAACGAAAAATTCAATGAGGTTCCAGAATTCTCCTGGTTTTAAAAGTGTGCGACACCTTACAGGTTCATTCCAATCTCCCGATATAGTGGTTTTATATCGCTTGAAAAATTCGGCAGCATATTGCAATTCTTTTCACTGGTTCAGCTGAACCAGTGCTACCACTGACACCTGTCGTGCATTTGACACAGTACCTATAACTCCCAAAAACATTTTGACCTGTTTCACTTGTGATTGCTGTCGGCTGTTATTCGTAGATGAACCCAACTTCTCCACAAACAGCTGTGAAGTGAACGGCCGATTGCTGACCAGGACAACGGGAGAAACTCCCTCCTCATTCACAATAATCCCACAGGATCTTTACCATCACATAAACCACTCGATGGACATATCAACATGTTCAATGTCTCACTTAAAGAACAGCAGTTCCGTCGATAATAATAATAACCTTTGCATTTGATACAGCGTCTTATCACATCTTCGAGACACCACAAAGCGCTTCACAAACTATACTGTAAAGTGTAGTGACTGTGTATTTTGTGGGTGGAACGTGGCAGCCAATTGCGCACAGCGGTGTCCCAGTAACAAGTCACTCAGTACAGGGTGTCCGCTTGCCCAGGGACCCGCTCCCACCTCAGGGTCAGAAGGCCCATATCAGCTTGTTGAGTTCACAGAGTCCAGGCTGAGTCCCCAGAGAGACAGGGCACAAGCTGGTTATACAGTCCACGGTTCTGTCCCTCTCTGATCGGTGCTGCTCTTTACACACTCGCTCAATTAGTATTCATTGTACTTACAGTAAAGACACCGTGCTAGTAGGTTCGGAGGTTGTCCTGGGTGAGTGGATACCAGCGACCGCAGAAACCTGAGCGAAGCGAGGCTCAGACTGCGGAGCCGACTTGGGACCAGCTTCTCTGAGCGGGGAGGGAGCTGTGGTGTGGGTGCGAATGAGCTCGCCGCTTGGAGCTGCTTGTCACTGCCGCCTGTATCTGACTGTATGCGTGTGTGTGTGTGTGTGTGTGTGTGGTTTACCATGTGTTTATCCCCACTCGCATTCCCACAGCCTGCACTCCATCTGAGAGCTAACAGGGCACAGCGGCACTTAAAGTGACAGGAGATCCCAGTCAGCATGTTGAGACGTCTTCCAGATGTGCAAGGTGCTGCATAAACTTAAATTGTTGCGGACTGCTGGACAGGCACAAGACTGACGAAGGGACGTCGTGAAAAACAAGACCTGAAAACCATCGGGCAGGTCCCATTGTAAAATAATTAATCCCACACTCTCTCTCTTACCTCACAGAGGCCTGTAGCTCAGTGGGGTTCGATTCCTGGGCAGGACGAAACGTTAGGCAAGTTTCCTTACTCCACACGCCCTGTTTACCAGCAGTAAGTAGGAACCCGGTTGTTAGTCGATTGCCGGATCATTTTTCCGGGGGTAATAATCCCTTCAATTTGCTGCTGCGTTTCGCCCACAAAATATAAAGTCAATTCACTTTACAGAGTACTCTGTGAAGAGTTTTGAGACAACTCAAAGTCTTGACAAGGAGCTATATCAATTGCAAGGATTAATATTATTATTATACCCCTCAATCATTTCCTTAGCTAAATATCTATGTAATTCCCTCACTGGGAAAACCGGTCTCCACAGCTCCGTGCTTCAATAATCTTTCTCCTGTAAAAGTAGTTTATAGTCTGTTCTGTACTCCTAAACTCATTCCCTGTCCACTTGGTACAGACTCTGTGACATTATTCGGTTTCTGTACCTTTCAGGAGTTTACCTTTCAACCCTTGGGAAATTGAGCGATATTTACAGAGTGTGTGAGAGAGCGAGTAGAATAGTGTGAGACGCACACAGAAAGAGAGAGCGAGAGAGAGAGAGAAACAGAGTGAGACAGAAAGACAGACAAATTATACAGAGAGAGAGAGAGAGAGAGAAAGAGACAGATGGAGAGCCAGAGAGGCAGATAGAGAGACACGTAGAGATGTGGTAGAAATGTCCTACCTTAATAAAGCAGGAAAGTAACGAATTGAATCGTGGATAAGTTAGCTGATCTCAAAAAGGGAGCAACTGGCCTCAAAAAAAGTAAATTTCTTAAGTGTTTCTTGAATCAGAGTCGGGTAATTTCACAGCATTACCCCAGACTTCCTGCTTCTGATCGCCTTTTAATGACTGTCCTCCCTCAAATCACAGCTCACTGCAAACGCAGAATAACTAGTGGAACACGGGTGAGATATAAATTCTATGACAATATTTAATATCCGTGGATCACAGGAGATCACTGAAGTAGGGCAGAGCAAGTCGTGATTGTGAGACTCGCGACCTGAAGCAGTGGTTGAATCAGATAGTGTAGATACATTCAAGAACAACAGCAACAACTTGAATTTATATAGCGCCCCTCATGCAGGGTAGCGTCCCAGAGCGCTTGAGTGAGGAAGCTAGAGCTTCACATGAGGGAGAGGGGAAAAGAAGGGTTTGGGAGGGAGTAAGGAGTGGGTGAGGACTTTTATGGAGTATAAACACTGACATGAACAGGTTGGGCCTGTTTCTGTACTGTGCGCTCTGTCTAATCTTTGTAAAGTCTGTAGAAGCATTTGAAAGTGGTAACAAGGATCTTTAAGTTAATTCGGGGGGTGGTTGGTGGTACTGGAATACGATGAGGAATAATAATAATACCAATCCTTGCATTTGATAAAGCTCCTTATCATGTCTTCAAGATGTCTCAAAGGGTTTCACAGAAAATACTGTAAAATGAATTGACTGTATATTTTGTAGGTGAAACGTGGCGGCCAATTAATTGCGCACATCAACGTCCCACAAACAGTCGTGGATTGAGTGACCAAATTTTTTGTTTTGAAGGAATTATTACCCCTGGAAACGCGCTCCGACAATCGACTAACAACTAACAATAAATAACTAATAACTAACAAGTAGGATCTCCAGCTGATATTTCTCCTTCCGAGGCCAACAACACTGAAGCTAACATTACAGCAGCAGGCTGTATACTGCTCAGTGCTGGACACTGGATTAGAGGCCTGAGCAAGTGTAATGGTGCTGTGTGTCAGCCTGGCGCTGTGATAGCCTCTCACCTCTGAGTCTGTGAGAAGGTTGTGGGTTCAAGCCCCCAAGTCGGGACTTGGAATCACATAGTCTAAGCTGACGCTCCAATTCAGTGCTGGGGGTGTGCTGCATTGTCAGAGGTGCCATCCATCGGATAAGATGTTCAACCGAGGTCCCGTCTGCCTGTTCAGGTGGACATTAAAGATCCCATGGAGCGATATGAAAAGAGAAGGGGAGTTTCTCTCCCCCGGTATCCTGGTCAACAATCCTCCCAAATAAAATTGTCTGTTTGTGGCGCATTACTGTGTGTCACAGGCTGCCACATTTGACATAAAATACACAGTCTCAAAGCGCTCAAAGGAAATAAAATGGTTTATCAGTGGATGCTGTAAAGTATATCCTGGGAAGCACTTTTAACATAACATAACATGATATGTAGGAGCAGGAGTAGGCCATTCGGCCCTTGGAGCCTGCCCCGCCATTCAATCATGGCTGATCTCCTAATTTAACTCCGGCTAATAACCTGACCCTGACTTATCCCCATATCCGTTAATCCCTTTTGCAATAAGAAATCTATCTATCTCAGTCTTGAATATGTTCAAGGACTGAACGTCAACAGCCCTTTGGGGTAGTGAGTTCCACACATTCACTGCCCTTTGAGTGAAGAAGTTCTTCCTCAACTCAGTGCGAAAGGGCTGTCTCTGATTTTCAGGTTGTGACCCCTGGTTTTAGTTTCTCCAACCGGGGAAAACAATCTCCCACTATCTACTCTATCATTGCCCTTTGATGATCTTATAGGTTTCTAAAAGATCCCCTCTAATTCTTCTAAATTCTGGAGAATATAGGCCCAAATTGTTCAGCCTATCCTCGTAACTCATCCCCTTCATCCCTGGTACTAACCGAGTAAATCTACGCTGCACCCCCTCCAAGACAACTACGTCCATCCTTAAAGAGATATCTCAATTTTGAGACATCTCAATGACGTGATAAGGCGCTGTATTAAATGCAAGGATTATTATTACTGAGAGAGAAAGGGAAACAAACTGAGCTTTGCTAATATCTAATGGAGCAGTCAGCGAATGTGTTAAGAGTGCAGACACATTCCAGAGCTTGTAATGTTTCCAATATAACTCCTGCCTGTGACCTCCTTTAGGGCTAATCTCACGCTACCAGCAAAACATTCATCAAAAGATGATTTCAGCCTGTTTTCCAACCAGCAGGCTGCCAGCAATTCCTGCACATTTACCCACAAACAACATCAGTCCTCACTCATATTGATTTACAATCTGTTCCATTCACTGGGCAAAGAGCTCCCAAAGGCCAACGGATGAAGACAGACACCCTGCCAGCAGTCAGCCCACAAAGCACTTGGAGCACTCGCCTCGCAAGCGAGAAACCTGGGTTCAATTCCCAGGCAGGTCAGGGTGAAATGTTAGGCAAGTTTCCTTCCTCCATACGCCTCTGTTTATCCACCAGTCAGTAGGAATCCGGTTGTTAGTCGATTGGCAGATTGCTTTTCTGGGGGTAATAATCCCTTCAAAAATAATAATAATAATAATTTGGTCACTCAATCCATGCCTGTTTGTGGGACACTGCTGTGCTCAAATAGCTGCCACGTTTCACCCACAGAATATACACTTTAAGGTACATTCTGTGAAGCGCTTTGAGACGCCTCTGAGATGTGATAAGACGCTGTATCAAATGCAAGGGTGATTATTATTATTATTGTCTGCTGCACGGAAGGGCACACACTTGTTCATGACTCGGAACAGTGAACCCTGCAGTTTCCTGTATGTTGTACACGATAATTTATACAAGTCACACAGACTCTCACAGGGACTGATGCTCCTTGTAGTGTGCACAGCCTGTGCACAAAAATATTGTTGACCAGGACACCGGGAGAGAGAGAATCTCTCTTCTCTTCTTTTAACTAATCACCGTTTTCTAATGTATTTTCTTCTCTGTTTTTCACCTTGACCTACAAAGGGCTTTAATCCTTCACTGAGATTCCTCAATACAAACTTAAAACTTTAGCGCATCAACAACAACAAATGACATTTACACAGCGCCTCTCATGTCGGGAGGACGTCCCAAGGCGCTGGACTGTCAGGAGTTTGGATCCGAGCAGGAGGTTGGGATCAGGAGGGATGGAGGACAGGGAGGGTTGGGGTAGGAGGGTGACCGAAGGCGCAGTCTAAATGGACGCTTGAGATGGGCCTTAAGAGGGCAAGGGAGGGAGTGAGGCGAAGGGACTGTGAGCAACAACGTTGATCAGACATTTCTGCTTTTCCCATAATAGGTAATGCACCAGCCTGCCTCCATCACCTCTCCCACGTCACAGGTTTCCCTTCTGTTTGTTTTCAAGCGGAGCAGCTTTAAGACAGCACTGATAGAGAGCAGAGACACAGGCAGAGGGAGAGAGAGGCACTGGGCTGAGAGAGGCATTGGGCAGAGAGAGGCACTGGGCAGAGAGAGGCACTGGGCAGAGAAAGAGGCACTGGGCAGAGAGAGGCACTGGGCAGAGAGAGGCAGTGGGCAGAGAGAGGCACTGGGCAGAGAGAGGCACTGGGCAGAGAGAGGCACTGGGCAGAGAAAGAGGCACTGGACAGAGAGACAGACAATAAGCTGAGACAGGCACTGGTCAGAGCAAGGTACTGGGCAGAAAGACACTCACTCAGGTCATGTGTGTGTGTGTGTGTGTGTGTTATATGTGCAGTGTTCAGTGTGAGCATGCGTGGATGTTTTGCATTAAAAATATTTAAAATCAGCAACACGATGCAAACGGACCAAAAGCAAACCTTGGTGCAATCCCTTTGACAACACGCCTTCCATGTCTCAAAGTGCTTCGAGGGATTCACAGTAAAGTGTAGTGACTGTGTATTTGTGGGACGAACCTGGCAGCCGTGTGATTCCCATGTGATCGTTAAGGTCCACCTGAAGAGGGCCTCGGTTTAAA